TGGAGTGAACTTAGGTGCTCCGTAGGTGTAATCAGATATAACAACATGGACCCAAACATTGAAATCACGATTTTTTATATTTCAATTTTATTCTACTGCCATTGAACAACCACATGTATGGCAGACAACATTAACTAAGCATAAGAAAAGTATATACAGCCCGTAAAATAACATAAAACAGGCTAAATTATGTTCTACATTTCCGGTAACCAGAAATACCAAACAGAGATATATAACACATGGACCCAAACAAAAACTGGGGTAACTTAGGTGCTCCGTAAGTGTAATTAGATTTAACAACACGAACAAAACTAAAACTGGGGTGAACTTAGGTACTCCGTAAGTGTAATTAGATTTAACAACATTGACCAAAACAAAAACCGGGGTGAACTTAGGTGCTCTGTAAGTGCAATCAGATTTAACAACACGAACCCCAACAAAAACTAAGGTGAGGTCATGTGCTCCGTACATGTAAGTGTAATCAGTTCTTGTTTGACTAGTGGCAACCTTCTTGTTCATCGTATAATTGAAAGAGCCTAAAACGTCTTCATGGTTATAACAATTTCTTCCACTGGTATCTTGATGTATCTACATACATACTATGAGCTACGTTGATAATGATAGAAGAATTTGTCAATATTGGTACGGACTTGCAAATAAAATATGACTTCCGTTTGGTTTTTTTTTTTCAAGACGATAAAAATCATCTGATTTTGACGAATCAAAATCGGTGCTTTGCTTTTGCGCCAATTGGCATTTCATTTGCGCCAACAAATCTTTCTTTTGCGCCACAAACCATATTTCATTTGCGCCAAAATAAAACATTTCATTTGCGCCAATAATACAGGTAAATAGTATAAAACAATAGATTTATTCAAATGAGACTTTTAATAATAACCTTGAATGGGATTAGCTGTCAAATCCATGCATGTTCACCGATTTGACTCAAATTCTCATATTTGATTTATAACATACTAAAACGTATATCCAAATTATATACAGTCTAAAACAATTTACGATACATGTACTCGGTAATATGTAACAGCATTTCGTGTGTATCTTACTAGTCTAGACGTCATCTAATTAACCATCGAGGTGACCTCCGAAGACTGTCGACGGTCATTTAACCCGATATAAACATAAAATAGATATAAATAGATAGTGAATACGTGCAATTGGATTTTTTCTAGGTCTGTACTACATATTGATGGGCGCATTGCATTCTTGGTCCAGTTCTTTTCAATGTCTTCATAAATGACATATTTCATTTTGTACAAAATAGCACCATTTATAATTATGCTGATGATACTTATTAACACTGTATCATATAGTGATTATGATATAGATAAAGTTGTTAAAAGTTTAGAAACTGATAGTTTAAATCTAATAAACTGGTTTTCGATAAATGTAATGAAGGCTTAAAATTAAAATTAAATATTCTAAAACGATTGGATTAATATTTAAACAGGCTAGGTAGGTTAACGGCATACTATTAATTCGTTCTTTCGAATTTTAACTATTTTCCAGGAATTTGGCACTACTGTATTGAAAAAAAAATCTTTTAAAATGGAAAAAATTCAAGAAAGAGCTCTTAGATTCATCTATGAAGATTATGATAGTTCATACGAAAAACTGCTTGAAAAGTCAAAATTACCTTCTTTAAAAATAAGGAGAATAAAAACTATTGCAACAGAAACATTTAAAATAATTCACAAAAAAAGTCCAAGTTATCATGATTTGATTGATATTAAAATTCAAAAGTATAATTTTACATCACAGGAAACAGCAGTACTCCCGAGAGTCAGAACTAACAGGTATGGTTTAAGATCGTTTCGCTATAATGCTGCACAAATCTGGAATGAGCTGCCTAACCATTGTCGAATGGAAACATCATTTGACCAATTCAAAAAATTGGTACAAACATGGGATCCAAATAACAGCTCATGCCTGTGCAGTGCATGTATATATTGCTTTTATGCTTGTGCTTTCTTATTTTTTATTTTGTTTGACTGTTTAATTCGCTTAGCTTTGTTAGTTGCTATTATCTGCTGTGCTTATCATTCTAAATTGTGCTGTTTAAAGATATACTTTATTTTGCATACTATGCTTTTAACTTTTATGTGTCATCCATGGTATCTTACCATGCACTGTATGTTTAAAATTGTGTTGTTTTCATGACTTTTGTATGTGTGTATATATTTTGTTATTCAGTCGATTTGAAAAGCTCACTAGAGCTTATGTTTATGTAGTTTATTGAATATCGACTTTAAATAAAACTTTGAATTGAATTGAATTGATGTTAATTTTAATTTTACTTTGTTTTCATATTTTTTTCTCAATTTTCCATAATAATGAATGTATTATAATTGATTACAATGTTGCGATCTTTTAAGAATTTATGATAGCTTGAGTCATTAAGCTTATATAAAAGTATCAAACGCTGCTTATTATCAAGATGTAGTATATATTTAAATTTCTTAATCAGCTTGCCCAATTGTCCAAAGCTTACGTGACAAATCGAGAATACTTGTAGCTCACAATTCAACAAGCCAGTTCCATATTTAAACACCCTGCAGTTCACGTCGTGATGTACCCAATTTGTATTCTCCCTTTTTTGTGGAAAAAGTGAACAGATATACGACTGACTCTTCCATCTGCTTATAAAAAAGCATGCCAAGAACATTGACTTCGGCTCTTATGATATACAGACAGAACGACCATGCAGGTAGACGATATATAGTACTTCGAACTAGAAGACAACAGCTTTCGATGATTATATACGCAGTACTACATAAAACTTCGTTTTTGCGCATCGTTTTAGATTTGAATATCTTCATGTAACACAAATACAAATACATATCAAGTAATAGAATAAATTACTAAAATGAGTACAGTCAGTGAACATTTCGATTTTTCATGTTATTTTGAATAAAAATTCATTTTTTCAGTTGAGGGAGAAATGTTTGAATTTTCCTTTTTTATTTACTGATTTTTGTTTGTTGAATAACTTTTTAATTTTGCAATTCAAAAACGGATAAAAACATAATTACGTAACATTTTCGGGTTATATTTAACCAAAAATATACTGACCGACTCTAGAAACGCAACACTAGATTATTCTATTTAATTCCCATTTTCAAATATGCAATTTTTGTTAAACAAATGTATGAACATAAATTTCATTCATTACTTCATTGTCTAAAAAATTTTACAGTTCGAAAGTTGAATTGATTACGTGATTTTTAATGTTCATATCATGTGGTATGCACTGAAACCCTGCTTTTCCCCTTATCAATGGATGTGTCACCGTCGAAGGCAATGACTGCCTGTAACCAACGCCAAAATGATTGTCAGAAAGGTCAACCAATTCTGTTGGGCATGTTTGAGTTCTGTTTTGTACCTTCTGGTTTTGCCTTTGCTCCCACCCATTACAGTCTGTACCAAGTCAGGAAAATGGCCATTGTTATATTATAGTTCGTTTCTGTGTGTGTTTCATTTTAATGTTGTGTTTCTGTTGTGTTGTAATTCTCCTCTTATATTTGATGTGTTTCCCTCAGTTTTAGTTTGTAACCCGGATTTGTTTTTTTCTCAATCGATTTATGAATTTCGAACAGCGGTATACTACTGTTGCCTTTATTTGGCAATTAGGCGGTTTAAATTTTAGGGCTTTAAATGTTTTTCTGCAGTCGATTCTTTGGCATTTCAGTTTTTGGGAAACATTTAATAGTATGAATCTGTCTGCCATGGCATTCGGCGATTTGATTAGCAGTTGACGTTGCGGTCGTAAAAATGTCTCGCAAATGACGTTGCGTAATCAAATTCTAGTGACGTGGCGTTGTCATTATATATTGATCTGGTCATTGGTGGTCATCAACAAATCCTGTCTGCCTGTATCGTTGTTGGAAGGACAATAAGACGAGTTTCTGACGTCAAATTGTCTGGTTACAGCACAAGAATCCGGTATGTTTAATAACCTCAGGTAATTCAGATATTGAATTTTTCTAAACAGAAAGAAGTATGGTAAGCATGAATAGTAGTTATTTGAGGATCAATCATGATTTGGTTAAAAAAGTCAACAAAATGCGTGTTGCGTTTTTAAAGTCCGTCAGTATATATGAAAAAACAATTATTGTAAAAAAAAATATGTGTTGTTAATGTTTTAATATATATGATCTTTAAACAATACCCCTTTTTACAATATATTTTAGTTAAGAACTGATGCAGATGAATTACAGGTAAATATTAAGATGCAGGTCGCCTTTCTGTAAGGAACATTCCGACCATCACATATTACCACCTACGACCGCTATTTGGTCATTCCGTTTTTCTGAAATCCAACAGTGGTCCGCGAGTTTTTCGTTATTGTATATATAAGATTGTATATTTGTATTTACCAGCAGATATATATGTATTGAAGTTTTAACACACTAATCATTAGATTTGGTTAGAGAAAATCAATGATTTACAAAACAAAATAGCACATCATGTGCAAACATGTGTCACTATTGTTTTATGTTTTTTACCAGATTGTGTAGTTATTTTTTTTAAGATATCTTGTTCGGTTAAATTAAAAACTGAATGGCTGGTAATGAGGAGAATTTCAAGTAATTTGTTGTCCCTTCGGAACCAACTATTGCCCGTCAGTTCGCCTGGAGCAAGAGTTTACATCTCTGGGAATATAAATTTGCTATTCCCCGCATAACCAGGCAGTAAGTGTTTACGATACAACTGTACAATACAATATTTCACAGTATGCCCTCACATTACCGACATTTTAAATAAATTAAACTGTGTCGATGTATTAAGCCATGTTAAAATAAATGACTCGTCGCAACATTTAAAGATGTTTTATTACGAATGTCACCTACATAACGATTTCAGTCCAGATAATCATGACGTATTCTGAGGATTATTTTTAGCATGGTTACCATTATTACGTTCGCTTTCGCTCTATCAGTGAAGATCACATTCTAATATTCATAGAGAGCAGATAGTGTAACTTAGCTGTAACATATAAGTAGATAAAAAAAAAATCAGATTGTAAATTAAGGAACTAATAATTTTTTACCTTTAAGAAAAGGGGGAGCTGCTCATTTGGAAAATGCAGCTTTGAAATCATTTTGATACATCTAATGCGAAATTTTATCTCCCTCTACCTTGACCAAAGAAATCATGGCCCCCTTTTTTCAGTAAAAGCTATGTTGAATTTTAACATGCCAAAACACACATTTAACACTCAACATTTAACTGCCAAAACCGCCTAAAGTAAACTTTGTATGAGGGAGTTACAGATTTTAATTAGTTGTAATGCATTTACGTGATTTATAACACCAAAATAGTTATAATGTATTTACAAGATTTCTAACACACACAAAAACAGTCACAACATATTTTTTTTTTTGTATTAATGTAGACAACTAGCCCTGAATGATTTCGGTAAGTTTAAAAAGGAAAGATTTGAAAGCATTTTCATTTAAGGAATAACAGTAGTTGAAGGTTAGACGGTCGCACTTGTCGTTTTATTCGTGACGCAGATCACTGATTTGATTTTACCGAAATACTAATTGGAAAAAAGGGGGAGCTGGTCATATGGAAAATGAGGCTCTGGAATTGTTTTGATCTCTCCAATGCGAATATTTTCATCACCCTACCTTGACAAAAAAAAAATCATGGTCCCCTTTTTTCAGTTAAGGTTATGTTGAATTTTAACATTCAAAAACACACATTTGACAATCACCACTTAATGGCCAAAACCTGAATTGGAGTTCTGAATGTGGTAATAGTCGGCAACCCACTGTCGAGTTTATACCGCTCATGTTCCTGTTCCTCACCTGGAGTTAAAACCCGTGGTAATGTGACCTGGAGTTACAACCCGTGGTTCATCCCCTGGAGTTAGAATCCGTGGTTTGTGACCTGGAGTTACAACCCGTGGTTTGTGACCGGGAGTTACATCAAATGGTTTGTGACCTGGAGTTACAACCTGTGGTTTGTGACCTGGAGTTACAACCTGTGGTCTGTGATCTGGAGTTACAACCTGTGGTTTGTGACCTGGAGTTACAACCTGTAGTTTGTGACCTGGAGTTACAACCCGTGATTTGCGACCTGGAGTTACAACCCGTGGTTTGTCACTTGGACTTACAACCTGTGGTATATGACCTGGAGTTACAACCCGTGGTTTGTCACCTGGAGTTACAATCCGTGGTTTGACACCTGGAGTTATAACCCGTGGTTTGTCACCTGGAGTTAGAATCCGTTGTTTATGACCTGGAGTTACAACCCGTGGTTTGTGACCTGGAGTTACAACAAATGGTTTGTGACCTGGAGTTACAACCTGTGGTTTGTGACCTGGAGTTACAACCTGTGGTTTGTGACCTAGAGTTACAGCCTGTGGTTTGTGACCTGGAGTTACAACCCGAGGTTTGTGATCTGGAGTTACAACCTGTGGTTTGCGACCTGGAGGTACAACCTGTGGTTCGTGACCTAGAGTTACAAGTCGTGGTTTGCGACCTGGAGTTACAACCCGTGGTTCGTGACCTGGAGTTACAACCTGTGGTTTGTGACCTGGAGTTACAACCTGTGGTTTGTCACCTGGAGTTTCAATCTGTGGTTTGACACCTGGAGTTACAACCTGGGGTTTGACACCTGGAGTTACAACCCGTGGTTATGTGACCTGGAGTTACAACCCATGTTTTGTTACCTGGAGTTACAACCCGTGGTTTGTCACCTGGAGTTACAACCTGTGGTTTGTCACATGGAGTTACAACATGTGGTTCGTTACCTAGAGTTACAAGCCGTGGTTTGCGACCTAGAGTTACAGCCTGTGGTTTGTGACCTGGAGTTACAACCCGAGGTTTGTGATCTGGAGTTACAACCTGTGGTTTGCGATCTGGAGGTACAACCTGTGGTTCGTGACCTGGAGTTACAAGTCGTGGTTTGCGACCTGGAGGTACAACCTGTGGTTTGTGACCCGGAGTAACAACCTCTGGTTTGCGACCTGGAGGTAAAACCTGTGGTTTGTGACCTGGAGATACAACATGTGGTTTGTGACCTGGAGTTACAAGCCGTGGTTTGTGACCTGGAGTTACAAGCCGTGGTTTGTGACCTAGAGTTACAACCCGTGGTTTGTGACCTGGAGATAAAACATGTGGTTTGTGACCTGGAGTTACAAGCCGTGGTTTGCGACCTGGAGTTACAACACGTGGTTTGTCACTTGGACTTACAACCTGTGGTATATGACCTGGAGTTACAAGCCGAGGTGTGCGACCTGGAGATACAACCTGCGGTTTGTGACCTAGAGTTACAACCCGTGGTTTGCGACCTGGAGTTACAACCCGTGGTTATGTGATTTTGAGTTACAAGCCGTGGTTTGCGACCTGGTGTTACAACCTGTGGTTTGTGACCTGGAGTAACAACTTGTGGTTTGTGACATAGAGTTACAACCCGTGGTTTGTCACCTGGAGTTACAACCCGTGGTTTTGTGACCTGGAGTTACAACATGTGGTTTGTCACCTGGAGTTACAACCCGTGGTTTGTGACCTGGAGATACAACATATGGTTTGTGACCTGGAGTTATAAGCCGTGGTTTGTGACCTGGAGTTACAAGCCGTGATTTGTGACCTGGAGTTACAACCCGTGGTTTGTGACCTGGAGATACAACATGTGGTTTGTGACCTGGAGTTACAAGCCGTGGTTTGCGACCTGGAGTTACAACACGTGGTTTGTCACTTGGACTTACAACCTGTGGTATATGACCTGGAGTTACAAGCCGAGGTTTGCGACCTGGAGATACAACCTGCGGTTTGTGACCTAGAGTTACAACCCGTGGTTTGCGACCTGGAGTTACAACCCGTGGTTATGTGACCTTGAGTTACAAGCCATGGTTTGCGACCTGGTGTTACAACCTGTGGTTTGTGACCTGGAGTAACAACCTGTGGTATGTGACATAGAGTTACAACCCGTGGTTTGTCACCTGGAGTTACAACCCGTGGGTTTGTGACCTGGAGTTACAACATGTGGTTTGTCACCTGGAGTTACAACCTGTGGTTTGTCAACTGGAGTTACAACATGGGGTTTGTCACCTGGAGTTACAACCCGTGGTTTGTCACCTGGAGTTAGAACTTGTGTTTTCTTACCTGGAGTTATAACCCGTGGTTTGTCACCTGGAGTTACAATCCGTGGTTTGTCACATGGAGTTACAACCTGTAGTTCGTGACCTGGAGATACAACCTGTGGTTTGTGACCTGGAGTTACAACCTGTGGTTTGTGACCTGGAGTTACAACCTGTAGTTTGTGACCTTGAATTACAACCTGTGGTTTGCGACCTGGAGTTACAATCTGTGGTTTGTGACTTAGAGTTACAACCAGTGGTTTGTGACCTGGAGTTACAACCTGTGGTTTGTGACCTAGAGTTACAACCCTTGGTTTGTGACCTGGAATTTCAACCTGTGGTTTGTGACCTAGAGTTACAACCTGTGGTTTGTGACCTGGAGTTACAACCTGTGGTTTGTGACCTAGAGTTACAGCCTGTGGTTTGTGACCTGGAGTTACAACCCGAGGTTTGTGAAATGGGTTACAACCTGTGGTTCGTGACCTAGAGTTACAAGTCGTGGTTTGCGACCTGGAGTTACAACCCGTGGTTCGTGACCTGGAGTTACAACCTGTGGTTTGTGACCTGGAGTTACAACCTGTGGTTTGACACCTGGAGTTAAAATCCGTGGTTTGACACCTGGAGTTACAACCTGGGGTTTGACACCTGGAGTAACAACCCGTGGTTATGTGACCTGGAGTTACAACCCGTGTTTTGTTAGCTGGAGTTACAACCCGTGGTTTGTACTTGGAGTTACAACCTGTGGTTTGTGACCTGGAGTAACAAGCCGTGGTTTGTGACCTGGAGTTACAAGCCGTGGTTTGTGACCTGGAGTTACAACCAGTGGTTTGTGACCTGGAGTTACAACATGTGGTTTGTGACCTGGAGTTACAAGCCGTGGTTTGCGACCTGGAGTTACAACCTGTGGTTTGTGACCTGGAGTTACAACCTGTGGTTTGCGACCTGGAGTTACAAGCCGTGGTTTGTGACCTGGAGATACAACATGTGGTTTGTGACCTGGAGTTACAGGCCGTGGTTTGTGACCTGGAGTTACAAGCCGTGGTTTGTGACCTGGAGTTACAACCCGTGGTTTGTGACCTGGAGATACAACATGTGGTTTGTGACCTGGAGTTGCAAGCCGTGGTTTGCGACCTGGAGTTACAACACGTGGTTTGTCACTTGGACTTACAACCTGTGGAATATGACCTGGAGTTACAAGCCGTGGTTTGCGACCTGGATATACAACCTGCGGTTTGTGACCTAGAGTTACAACCCGTGGTTTGCGACCTGGAGTAACAACCCGTGGTTATGTGACCTAGAGTTACAAGCCGTGGTTTGCGACCTGGTGTTACAACCTGTGGTTTGTGACCTGGAGTAACAACCTGTGGTTTGTGACATAGAGTTACAACCCGTGGTTTGTCACCTGGAGTTACAACCCGTGGTTTTCTTACCTGGAGTTACAACATGTGGTTTGTCACCTGGAGTTACAACCTGTGGTTTGTCATCTGGAGTTACAACATGGGGTTTGTCACCTGGGGTTACAACCTGGGGTTTGTCACCTGGAGTTACAACTCGTGTTTTGTTACCTGGAGTTACAACCCGTGGTTTGTCACCTGGAGTTACAACCCGTGGTTTGTCACATGGAGTTACAACCCGTGGTTTGTCACATGGAGTTACAACCTGTGGTTCGTTACCTGGAGTTACAACCTGTGGTTTGTGACCTGGAGTTACAACCCGTGGTTTGTGACCTGGAGTTACAACCTGTGGTTCGTGACCTGGAGTTACAACCTGTGATTTGTGACCTTGAGTTACAACCTGTAGTTTGCGACCTGGAGTTACAACCTGTGGTTTGCGACCTGGAGTTACAACCTGTGGTTTGTCACCTGGAGTTACAACCTGGGGTTTGTCACCTGGAGTTACAACTCGTGTTTTGTTACCTGGAGTTACAACCCGTGGTTATATGACCTGGAGTTACAACCCGTGGTTATATGACCTGGAGTTACAACCCGTGGTTTGTCACATGGAGTTACAACCTGTTGTTCGTGACCTGGAGTTACAACCCGTGGTTTGTCACCTGGAGTTACAACCCGTGGTTTGTCAGTTGGGGTTACAACCCGTGGTTCGTGACCTGGAGTTACAACCTGTGGTTTGTGACCTGGAGTTACAACCTGTGGTTTGTGACCTGGAGTTGCAACCTGTGGTTTGTGACCTGGAGTTACAACCTGTGGTTCGTGACCTGGAGTTACAACCTGTGGTTTGTGACCTGGAGTTACAACCACAACCTGTGGTTTGTGACCTGGAGTTACAACCTGTGGTTTGTCACCTGGAGTTACAACCTGGGGTTTGTCACCTGGAGTTACAACTCGTGTTTTTTACCTGGTGTTACAACCCGTGGTTATATGACCTGGAGTTACAACCCGTGGTTTGTGACCTGGAGTTACAACCTGGGGTTCGTGACCTGAAGTTACAACCTGTGGTTCGTGACCTGGAGTTACAACCTGTGGTTTGTGACTTTGAGTTACAACCTGTGGTTTGTGACCTAGAGTTACAGCCTGTGGTTTGTGACCTGGAGTTACAACCCGAGGTTTGTGATCTGGAGTTACAACCTGTGGTTTGCGACCTGGAGGTACAACCTGTGGTTCGTGACCTAGAGTTACAAGTCGTGGTTTGCGACCTGGAGTTACAACCCGTGGTTCGTGACCTGGAGTTACAACCTGTGGTTTGTGACCTGGAGTTACAACCTGTGGTTTGTCACCTGGAGTTACAATCTGTAGTTTGACACCTGGAGTTACAACCTGGGGTTTGCCACCTGGAGTTACAACCCGTGGTTTGTGACCTGGAGATACAACATGTGGTTTGTGACCTGGAGTTACAAGCCGTGGTTTGCGACCTGGAGTTACAACACGTGGTTTGTCACTTGGACTTACAACCTGTGGTATATGACCTGGAGTTACAAGCCGTGGTTTGCGACCTGGAGATACAACCTGCGGTTTGTGACCTAGAGTTACAACCCGTGGTTTGCGACCTGGAGTAACAACCCGTGGTTATGTGACCTAGAGTTACAACCCGTGGTTTGTTACCTGGAGTTACAACCCGTGGTTTTGTGACCTGGAGTTACAACATGTGGTTTGTCACCTGGAGTTACAACGTGTGGTTTGTCACCTGGAGTTACAACCTGGGGTTTGTCATCTGGAGTTACAAGCTGGGGTTTGTCACCTGGAGTTACAACCCGTGGTTTGTCACCTGGAGTAAGAACTCGTGTTTTCCTACCTGGAGTTACAACCCGTGGTTTGTCACCTGGAGTTACAACCCGTGGTTTGTCACATGGAGTTACAACCTGTGGTTCGTGACCTGGAGATACAACCTGTGGTTTGTGACCTGGAGTTACAACCTGTGGTTTGTGACCTGGAGTTACAACCTGTGGTTTGTGACCTGGAGTTACAACCTGTGGTTTGCGACCTGGAGTTACAATCCGTGGTTTGTGACTTACAGTTACAAACTGTGGTTTTTGACCTGGAGTTACAACCTGTGATTTGTGACCTAGAGTTACAACCTGTGGTTTGTGACCTGGAATTTCAACCTGTGGTTTGTGATCTAGAGTTACAACCTGTGGTTTGTGACCTGGAGGTACAACCTGTGGTTTGTGACCTAGAGTTACAGCCTGTGGTTTGTGACCTGGAGTTACAACCCGAGGTTTGTGATCTTGGCTTACAACCTGTGGTTTGCGACCTGGAGGTACAACCTGTGGTTCGTGAACTAGAGTTACAAGTCGTGGTTTGCGACCTGGAGTTACAACCAGTGGTTCGTGACCTGGAGTTACAACCTGTGGTTCGTGACCTAGAGTTACAACCTGTGGTTTGTCACCTGGAGTTACAATCCGGGGTTTGACACCTGGAGTTACAACCTGGGGTTTGTCACTTGGACTTACAACCTGTGGTATATGACCTGGAGTTACAACCCGTGGTTTGTCACCTGGAGTTACAATCCGTGGTTTGACACCTGGAGTTATAACCCGTGGTTTGTCACCTGGAGTTAGAATCCGTTGTTTATGACCTGGAGTTACAACCCGTGGTTTGTGACCTGGAGTTACAACAAATGGTTTGTGACCTGGAGTTACAACCTGTGGTTTGTGACCTGGAGTTACAACCTGTGGTTTGTGACCTAGAGTTACAGCCTGTGGTTTGTGACCTGGAGTTACAACCCGAGGTTTGTGATCTGGAGTTACAACCTGTGGTTTGCGACCTGGAGGTACAACCTGTGGTTCGTGACCTAGAGTTACAAGTCGTGGTTTGCGACCTGGAGTTACAACCCGTGGTTCGTGACCTGGAGTTACAACCTGTGGTTTGTGACCTGGAGTTACAACCTGTGGTTTGTCACCTGGAGTTTCAATCTGTGGTTTGACACCTGGAGTTACAACCTGGGGTTTGACACCTGGAGTTACAACCCGTGGTTATGTGACCTGGAGTTACAACCCATGTTTTGTTACCTGGAGTTACAACCCGTGGTTTGTCACCTGGAGTTACAACCTGTGGTTTGTCACATGGAGTTACAACATGTGGTTCGTTACCTAGAGTTACAAGCCGTGGTTTGCGACCTAGAGTTACAGCCTGTGGTTTGTGACCTGGAGTTACAACCCGAGGTTTGTGATCTGGAGTTACAACCTGTGGTTTGCGATCTGGAGGTACAACCTGTGGTTCGTGACCTGGAGTTACAAGTCGTGGTTTGCGACCTGGAGGTACAACCTGTGGTTTGTGACCCGGAGTAACAACCTCTGGTTTGCGACCTGGAGGTAAAACCTGTGGTTTGTGACCTGGAGATACAACATGTGGTTTGTGACCTGGAGTTACAAGCCGTGGTTTGTGACCTGGAGTTACAAGCCGTGGTTTGTGACCTAGAGTTACAACCCGTGGTTTGTGACCTGGAGATAAAACATGTGGTTTGTGACCTGGAGTTACAAGCCGTGGTTTGCGACCTGGAGTTACAACACGTGGTTTGTCACTTGGACTTACAACCTGTGGTATATGACCTGGAGTTACAAGCCGAGGTGTGCGACCTGGAGATACAACCTGCGGTTTGTGACCTAGAGTTACAACCCGTGGTTTGCGACCTGGAGTTACAACCCGTGGTTATGTGATTTTGAGTTACAAGCCGTGGTTTGCGACCTGGTGTTACAACCTGTGGTTTGTGACCTGGAGTAACAACTTGTGGTTTGTGACATAGAGTTACAACCCGTGGTTTGTCACCTGGAGTTACAACCCGTGGTTTTGTGACCTGGAGTTACAACATGTGGTTTGTCACCTGGAGTTACAACCCGTGGTTTGTGACCTGGAGATACAACATATGGTTTGTGACCTGGAGTTATAAGCCGTGGTTTGTGACCTGGAGTTACAAGCCGTGATTTGTGACCTGGAGTTACAACCCGTGGTTTGTGACCTGGAGATACAACATGTGGTTTGTGACCTGGAGTTACAAGCCGTGGTTTGCGACCTGGAGTTACAACACGTGGTTTGTCACTTGGACTTACAACCTGTGGTATATGACCTGGAGTTACAAGCCGAGGTTTGCGACCTGGAGATACAACCTGCGGTTTGTGACCTAGAGTTACAACCCGTGGTTTGCGACCTGGAGTTACAACCCGTGGTTATGTGACCTTGAGTTACAAGCCATGGTTTGCGACCTGGTGTTACAACCTGTGGTTTGTGACCTGGAGTAACAACCTGTGGTATGTGACATAGAGTTACAACCCGTGGTTTGTCACCTGGAGTTACAACCCGTGGGTTTGTGACCTGGAGTTACAACATGTGGTTTGTCACCTGGAGTTACAACCTGTGGTTTGTCAACTGGAGTTACAACATGGGGTTTGTCACCTGGAGTTACAACCCGTGGTTTGTCACCTGGAGTTAGAACTTGTGTTTTCTTACCTGGAGTTATAACCCGTGGTTTGTCACCTGGAGTTACAATCCGTGGTTTGTCACATGGAGTTACAACCTGTAGTTCGTGACCTGGAGATACAACCTGTGGTTTGTGACCTGGAGTTACAACCTGTGGTTTGTGACCTGGAGTTACAACCTGTAGTTTGTGACCTTGAATTACAACCTGTGGTTTGCGACCTGGAGTTACAATCTGTGGTTTGTGACTTAGAGTTACAACCAGTGGTTTGTGACCTGGAGTTACAACCTGTGGTTTGTGACCTAGAGTTACAACCCTTGGTTTGTGACCTGGAATTTCAACCTGTGGTTTGTGACCTAGAGTTACAACCTGTGGTTTGTGACCTGGAGTTACAACCTGTGGTTTGTGACCTAGAGTTACAGCCTGTGGTTTGTGACCTGGAGTTACAACCCGAGGTTTGTGAAATGGGTTACAACCTGTGGTTCGTGACCTAGAGTTACAAGTCGTGGTTTGCGACCTGGAGTTACAACCCGTGGTTCGTGACCTGGAGTTACAACCTGTGGTTTGTGACCTGGAGTTACAACCTGTGGTTTGACACCTGGAGTTAAAATCCGTGGTTTGACACCTGGAGTTACAACCTGGGGTTTGACACCTGGAGTAACAACCCGTGGTTATGTGACCTGGAGTTACAACCCGTGTTTTGTTAGCTGGAGTTACAACCCGTGGTTTGTACTTGGAGTTACAACCTGTGGTTTGTGACCTGGAGTAACAAGCCGTGGTTTGTGACCTGGAGTTACAAGCCGTGGTTTGTGACCTGGAGTTACAACCCGTGGTTTGTGACCTGGAGTTACAACATGTGGTTTGTGACCTGGAGTTACAAGCCGTGGTTTGCGACCTGGAGTTACAACCTGTGGTTTGTGACCTGGAGTTACAACCTGTGGTTTGCGACCTGGAGTTACAAGCCGTGGTTTGTGACCTGGAGATACAACATGTGGTTTGTGACCTGGAGTTACAGGCCGTGGTTTGTGACCTGGAGTTACAAGCCGTGGTTTGTGACCTGGAGTTACAACCCGTGGTTTGTGACCTGGAGATACAACATGTGGTTTGTGACCTGGAGTTGCAAGCCGTGGTTTGCGACCTGGAGTTACAACACGTGGTTTGTCACTTGGACTTACAACCTGTGGAATATGACCTGGAGTTACAAGCCGTGGTTTGCGACCTGGATATACAACCTGCGGTTTGTGACCTAGAGTTACAACCCGTGGTTTGCGACCTGGAGTAACAACCCGTGGTTATGTGACCTAGAGTTACAAGCCGTGGTTTGCGACCTGGTGTTACAACCTGTGGTTTGTGACCTGGAGTAACAACCTGTGGTTTGTGACATAGAGTTACAACCCGTGGTTTGTCACCTGGAGTTACAACCCGTGGTTTTCTTACCTGGAGTTACAACATGTGGTTTGTCACCTGGAGTTACAACCTGTGGTTTGTCATCTGGAGTTACAACATGGGGTTTGTCACCTGGGGTTACAACCTGGGGTTTGTCACCTGGAGTTACAACTCGTGTTTTGTTACCTGGAGTTACAACCCGTGGTTTGTCACCTGGAGTTACAACCCGTGGTTTGTCACATGGAGTTACAACCCGTGGTTTGTCACATGGAGTTACAACCTGTGGTTCGTTACCTGGAGTTACAACCTGTGGTTTGTGACCTGGAGTTACAACCCGTGGTTTGTGACCTGGAGTTACAACCTGTGGTTCGTGACCTGGAGTTACAACCTGTGATTTGTGACCTTGAGTTACAACCTGTAGTTTGCGACCTGGAGTTACAACCTGTGGTTTGCGACCTGGAGTTACAACCTGTGGTTTGTCACCTGGAGTTACAACCTGGGGTTTGTCACCTGGAGTTACAACTCGTGTTTTGTTACCTGGAGTTACAACCCGTGGTTATATGACCTGGAGTTACAACCCGTGGTTATATGACCTGGAGTTACAACCCGTGGTTTGTCACATGGAGTTACAACCTGTTGTTCGTGACCTGGAGTTACAACCCGTGGTTTGTCACCTGGAGTTACAACCCGTGGTTTGTCAGTTGGGGTTACAACCCGTGGTTCGTGACCTGGAGTTACAACCTGTGGTTTGTGACCTGGAGTTACAACCTGTGGTTTGTGACCTGGAGTTGCAACCTGTGGTTTGTGACCTGGAGTTACAACCTGTGGTTCGTGACCTGGAGTTACAACCTGTGGTTTGTGACCTGGAGTTACAACCACAACCTGTGGTTTGTGACCTGGAGTTACAACCTGTGGTTTGTCACCTGGAGTTACAACCTGGGGTTTGTCACCTGGAGTTACAACTCGTGTTTTTTACCTGGTGTTACAACCCGTGGTTATATGACCTGGAGTTACAACCCGTGGTTTGTGACCTGGAGTTACAACCTGGGGTTCGTGACCTGAAGTTACAACCTGTGGTTCGTGACCTGGAGTTACAACCTGTGGTTTGTGACTTTGAGTTACAACCTGTGGTTTGTGACCTAGAGTTACAGCCTGTGGTTTGTGACCTGGAGTTACAACCCGAGGTTTGTGATCTGGAGTTACAACCTGTGGTTTGCGACCTGGAGGTACAACCTGTGGTTCGTGACCTAGAGTTACAAGTCGTGGTTTGCGACCTGGAGTTACAACCCGTGGTTCGTGACCTGGAGTTACAACCTGTGGTTTGTGACCTGGAGTTACAACCTGTGGTTTGTCACCTGGAGTTACAATCTGTAGTTTGACACCTGGAGTTACAACCTGGGGTTTGCCACCTGGAGTTACAACCCGTGGTTTGTGACCTGGAGATACAACATGTGGTTTGTGACCTGGAGTTACAAGCCGTGGTTTGCGACCTGGAGTTACAACACGTGGTTTGTCACTTGGACTTACAACCTGTGGTATATGACCTGGAGTTACAAGCCGTGGTTTGCGACCTGGAGATACAACCTGCGGTTTGTGACCTAGAGTTACAACCCGTGGTTTGCGACCTGGAGTAACAACCCGTGGTTATGTGACCTAGAGTTACAACCCGTGGTTTGTTACCTGGAGTTACAACCCGTGGTTTTGTGACCTGGAGTTACAACATGTGGTTTGTCACCTGGAGTTACAACGTGTGGTTTGTCACCTGGAGTTACAACCTGGGGTTTGTCATCTGGAGTTACAAGCTGGGGTTTGTCACCTGGAGTTACAACCCGTGGTTTGTCACCTGGAGTAAGAACTCGTGTTTTCCTACCTGGAGTTACAACCCGTGGTTTGTCACCTGGAGTTACAACCCGTGGTTTGTCACATGGAGTTACAACCTGTGGTTCGTGACCTGGAGATACAACCTGTGGTTTGTGACCTGGAGTTACAACCTGTGGTTTGTGACCTGGAGTTACAACCTGTGGTTTGTGACCTGGAGTTACAACCTGTGGTTTGCGACCTGGAGTTACAATCCGTGGTTTGTGACTTACAGTTACAAACTGTGGTTTTTGACCTGGAGTTACAACCTGTGATTTGTGACCTAGAGTTACAACCTGTGGTTTGTGACCTGGAATTTCAACCTGTGGTTTGTGATCTAGAGTTACAACCTGTGGTTTGTGACCTGGAGGTACAACCTGTGGTTTGTGACCTAGAGTTACAGCCTGTGGTTTGTGACCTGGAGTTACAACCCGAGGTTTGTGATCTTGGCTTACAACCTGTGGTTTGCGACCTGGAGGTACAACCTGTGGTTCGTGAACTAGAGTTACAAGTCGTGGTTTGCGACCTGGAGTTACAACCAGTGGTTCGTGACCTGGAGTTACAACCTGTGGTTCGTGACCTAGAGTTACAACCTGTGGTTTGTCACCTGGAGTTACAATCCGGGGTTTGACACCTGGAGTTACAACCTGGGGTTTGACACCTGGAGTAACAACCCGTGGTTATGTGACCTGGAGTTACAACCCATGTTTTGTTACCTGGAGTTACAACCCGTGGTTTGTAGTTGGAGTTACAATCCGGGGTTTGACACCTGGAGTTACAACCTGGGGTTTGCCACCTGGAGTTACAACCCGTGGTTTGTGACCTGGAGATACAACATGTGGTTTGTGACCTGGAGTTACAAGCCGTTGTTTGCAACCTGGAGTTACAACACGTGGTTTGTCACTTGGACTTACAACCTGTGGTATATGACCTGGAGTTACAAGCCGAGGTTTGCGACCTGGAGATACAACCTGCGGTTTGTGACCTAGAGTTACAACCCGTGATTTGCGACCTGGAGTTACAACCCGTGGTTATGTGACCTTGAGTTACAAGCCGTGGTTTGCGACCTGGTGTTACAACCTGTGGTTTGTGACCTGGAGTAACAACCTGTGGTTTGTGACATAGAGTTACAACAAGTGGTTTGTCACCTTGAGTTACAACCCGTGGGTTTGTGACCTGGAGTTACAACATGTGGTTTGTCACCTGGAGTTACAACCTGTGGTTTGGCAACTGGAGTTACAACATGGGGTTTGTCACCTGGAGTTACAACCCGTGGTTTGTCACCTGGAGTTAGAACTCGTGTTTTCTTACCTGGAGTTATAACCCGTGGTTTGTCACCTGGAGTTACAACCCGTGGTTTGTCACATGGAGTTACAACCTGTAGTTCGTGACCTGGAGATACAACCTGTGGTTTGTGACCTGGAGTTACAACCTGTGGTTTGTGACCTGGAGTTACAACCTGTGGTTTGTGACCTGGAATTACAACCTGTGGTTTGCGACCTGGAGTTACAATCTGTGGTTTGTGACTTAGAGTTACAACCAGTGGTTTGTGACCTGGAGTTACAACCTGTGGTTTGTGACCTAGAGTTACAACCCGTGGTTTGTGACCTGGAATTTCAACCTGTGGTTTGTGACCTAGAGTTACAACCTGTGGTTTGTGACCTGGAGTTACAACCTGTGGTTTGTGACCTAGAGTTACAGCCTGTGGTTTGTGACCTGGAGTTACAACCCGAGGTTTGTGAAATGGGTTACAAGCTGTGGTTCGTGACCTAGAGTTACAAGTCGTGGTTTGCGACCTGGAGTTACAACCCGTGGTTCGTGACCTGGAGTTAGAACCTGTGGTTTGTGACCTGGAGTTACAACCTGTGGTTTGTCACCTGGAGTTACAATCCGTGGTTTGACACCTGGAGTTACAACCTGGGGTTTGACACCTGGAGTAACAACCCGTGGTTATGTGACCTGGAGTTACAACCCGTGTTTTGTTAGCTGGAGTTACAACCCGTGGTTTGTACTTGGAGTTACAACCTGTGGTTTGTGACCTGGAGTTACAAGCCGTGGTTTGTGACCTGGAGTTAGAAGCCGTGGTTTGTGACCTGGAGTTACAACCCGTGGTTTGTGACCTGGAGATACAACATGTGGTTTGTGACCTGGAGTTACAAGCCGTGGTTTGCGACCTGGAGTTACAACCTGTGGTTTGTGACCTGGAGTTACAACCTGTGGTTTGCGACCTGGAGTTACAACCTGTGGTTTGCGACCTGGAGTTACAACCTGTGGTTTGTGACCTGGAGTTACAACCTGTGGTTTGCGACCTGGAGTTACAATCCGTGGTTTGTGACCTGGAGATACAACATGTGGTTTGTGACCTGGAGTTACAAGCCGTGGTTTGTGACCTGGAGTTACAAGCCGTGGTTTGTGACCTGGAGTTACAACCCGTGGTTTGTGACCTGGAGATACAACATGTGGTTTGTGACCTGGAGTTACAAGCCGTGGTTTGCGACCTGGAGTTACAACACGTGGTTTGTCATTTGGACTTACAACCTGTGGAATATGACCTGGAGTTACAAGCCGTGGTTTGCGACCTGGATATACAACCTGCGGTTTGTGACCTAGAGTTACAACCCGTGGTTTGCGACCTGGAGTAACAACCCGTGGTTATGTGACCTAGAGTTACAAGCCGTGGTTTGCGACCTGGTGTTACCACCTGTGGTTTGTGACCTGGAGTAACAACCTGTGGTTTGTGACATAGAGTTACAACCCGTGGTTTGTCACCTGGAGTTACAACCCGTGGTTTTCCTACCTGGAGTTACAACATGTGGTTTGTCACCTGGAGTTACAACCTGTGGTTTGTCACCTGGAGTTACAACCTGGGGTTTGTCACCTGGAGTTACAACCTGTGGTTTGTCACATGGAGTTACAACCTGTGGTTCGTTACCTGGAGTTACAACCTGTGGTTTGTGACCTGGAGTTACAACCTGTGGTTTGTGACCTGGAGTTACAACCTGTGGTTCGTGACCTAGAGTTACAACCTGTGATTTGTGACCTTGAGTTACAACCTGTGGTTTGCGACCTGGAGTTACAACCTGTTGTTTGCGACCTGGAGTTACAACCTGTGGTTTGTCACCTGGAGTTACAACCTGGGGTTTGTCACCTGGAGTTACAACTCGTGTTTTGTTACCTGGAGTTACAACCCGTGGTTATATGACCTGGAGTTACAACCCGTGGTTTGTCACATGGAGTTACAACCTGTGGTTCGTGACCTGGAGTTACAACCCGTGGTTTGTCACCTGGAGTTACAACCCGTGGTTTGTCAGTTGGAGTTACAACCCGTGGTTCGTGACCTGGAGTTACAACCTGTGGTTTGTGACCTGGAGTTACAACCTGTGGTTTGTGACCTGGAGTTGCAACCTGTGGTTTGTGACCTGGAGTTACAACCTGTGGTTCGTGACCTGGAGTTACAACCTGTGGTTTGTGACCTGGAGTTACAACCACAACCTGTGGTTTGCGACCTGGAGTTACAACCTGTGGTTTGTCACCTGGAGATACAACATGTGGTTTGTGACCTGGAGTTACAAGCCGTGGTTTGCGACCTGGAGTTACAACACGTGGTTTGTCACTTGGACTTACAACCTGTGGTATATGACCTGGAGTTACAAGCCGTGGTTTGCGACCTGGAGATACAACCTGCGGTTTGTGACCTAGAGTTACAACCCGTGGTTTGCGACCTGGAGTAACAACCCGTGGTTATGTGACCTAGAGTTACAACCCGTGGTTTGTTACCTGGAGTTACAACCCGTGGTTTTGTGACCTGGAGTTACAACATGTGGTTTGTCACCTGGAGTTACAACGTGTGGTTTGTCACCTGGAGTTACAACGTGTGGTTTGTCACCTGGAGTTACAACCTGGGGTTTGTCATCTGGAGTTACAAGCTGGGGTTTGTCACCTGGAGTTACAACCCGTGGTTTGTCACCTGGAGTAAGAACTCGTGTTTTCCTACCTGGAGTTACAACCCGTGGTTTGTCACCTGGAGTTACAACCCGTGGTTTGTCACATGGAGTTACAACCTGTGGTTCGTGACCTGGAGATACAACCTGTGGTTTGTGACCTGGAGTTACAACCTGTGGTTTGTGACCTGGAGTTACAACCTGTGGTTTGTGACCTGGAGTTACAACCTGTGGTTTGCGACCTGGAGTTACAATCCGTGGTTTGTGACTTACAGTTACAAACTGTGGTTTTTGACCTGGAGTTACAACCTGTGATTTGTGACCTAGAGTTACAACCTGTGGTTTGTGACCTGGAATTTCAACCTGTGGTTTGTGATCTAGAGTTACAACCTGTGGTTTGTGACCTGGAGGTACAACCTGTGGTTTGTGACCTAGAGTTACAGCCTGTGGTTTGTGACCTGGAGTTACAACCCGAGGTTTGTGATCTTGGCTTACAACCTGTGGTTTGCGACCTGGAGGTACAACCTGTGGTTCGTGAACTAGAGTTACAAGTCGTGGTTTGCGACCTGGAGTTACAACCAGTGGTTCGTGACCTGGAGTTACAACCTGTGGTTCGTGACCTAGAGTTACAACCTGTGGTTTGTCACCTGGAGTTACAATCCGGGGTTTGACACCTGGAGTTACAACCTGGGGTTTGACACCTGGAGTAACAACCCGTGGTTATGTGACCTGGAGTTACAACCCATGTTTTGTTACCTGGAGTTACAACCCGTGGTTTGTAGTTGGAGTTACAATCCGGGGTTTGACACCTGGAGTTACAACCTTGGGTTTGCCACCTGGAGTTACAACCCGTGGTTTGTGACCTGGAGATACAACATGTGGTTTGTGACCTGGAGTTACAAGCCGTTGTTTGCAACCTGGAGTTACAACACGTGGTTTGTCACTTGGACTTACAACCTGTGGTATATGACCTGGAGTTACAAGCCGAGGTTTGCGACCTGGAGATACAACCTGCGGTTTGTGACCTAGAGTTACAACCCGTGATTTGCGACCTGGAGTTACAACCCGTGGTTATGTGACCTTGAGTTACAAGCCGTGGTTTGCGACCTGGTGTTACAACCTGTGGTTTGTGACCTGGAGTAACAACCTGTGGTTTGTGACATAGAGTTACAACAAGTGGTTTGTCACCTTGAGTTACAACCCGTGGGTTTGTGACCTGGAGTTACAACATGTGGTTTGTCACCTGGAGTTACAACCTGTGGTTTGGCAACTGGAGTTACAACATGGGGTTTGTCACCTGGAGTTACAACCCGTGGTTTGTCACCTGGAGTTAGAACTCGTGTTTTCTTACCTGGAGTTATAACCCGTGGTTTGTCACCTGGAGTTACAACCCGTGGTTTGTCACATGGAGTTACAACCTGTAGTTCGTGACCTGGAGATACAACCTGTGGTTTGTGACCTGGAGTTACAACCTGTGGTTTGTGACCTGGAGTTACAACCTGTGGTTTGTGACCTGGAATTACAACCTGTGGTTTGCGACCTGGAGTTACAATCTGTGGTTTGTGACTTAGAGTTACAACCAGTGGTTTGTGACCTGGAGTTACAACCTGTGGTTTGTGACCTAGAGTTACAACCCGTGGTTTGTGACCTGGAATTTCAACCTGTGGTTTGTGACCTAGAGTTACAACCTGTGGTTTGTGACCTGGAGTTACAACCTGTGGTTTGTGACCTAGAGTTACAGCCTGTGGTTTGTGACCTGGAGTTACAACCCGAGGTTTGTGAAATGGGTTACAAGCTGTGGTTCGTGACCTAGAGTTACAAGTCGTGGTTTGCGACCTGGAGTTACAACCCGTGGTTCGTGACCTGGAGTTAGAACCTGTGGTTTGTGACCTGGAGTTACAACCTGTGGTTTGTCACCTGGAGTTACAATCCGTGGTTTGACACCTGGAGTTACAACCTGGGGTTTGACACCTGGAGTAACAACCCGTGGTTATGTGACCTGGAGTTACAACCCGTGTTTTGTTAGCTGGAGTTACAACCCGTGGTTTGTACTTGGAGTTACAACCTGTGGTTTGTGACCTGGAGTTACAAGCCGTGGTTTGTGACCTGGAGTTACAAGCCGTGGTTTGTGACCTGGAGTTACAACCCGTGGTTTGTGACCTGGAGATACAACATGTGGTTTGTGACCTGGAGTTACAAGCCGTGGTTTGCGACCTGGAGTTACAACCTGTGGTTTGTGACCTGGAGTTACAACCTGTGGTTTGCGACCTGGAGTTACAACCTGTGGTTTGCGACCTGGAGTTACAACCTGTGGTTTGTGACCTGGAGTTACAACCTGTGGTTTGCGACCTGGAGTTACAATCCGTGGTTTGTGACCTGAAGATACAACATGTGGTTTGTGACCTGGAGTTACAAGCCGTGGTTTGTGACCTGGAGTTACAAGCCGTGGTTTGTGACCTGGAGTTACAACCCGTGGTTTGTGACCTGGAGATACAACATGTGGTTTGTGACCTGGAGTTACAAGCCGTGGTTTGCGACCTGGAGTTACAACACGTGGTTTGTCATTTGGACTTACAACCTGTGGAATATGACCTGGAGTTACAAGCCGTGGTTTGCGACCTGGATATACAACCTGCGGTTTGTGACCTAGAGTTACAACCCGTGGTTTGCGACCTGGAGTAACAACCCGTGGTTATGTGACCTAGAGTTACAAGCCGTGGTTTGCGACCTGGTGTTACCACCTGTGGTTTGTGACCTGGAGTAACAACCTGTGGTTTGTGACATAGAGTTACAACCCGTGGTTTGTCACCTGGAGTTACAACCCGTAGTTTTCTTACCTGGAGTTACAACATGTGGTTTGTCACCTGGAGTTACAACCTGTGGTTTGTCACCTGGAGTTACAACCTGGGGTTTGTCACCTGGAGTTACAACCTGTGGTTTGTCACATGGAGTTACAACCTGTGGTTCGTTACCTGGAGTTACAACCTGTGGTTTGTGACCTGGAGTTACAACCTGTGGTTTGTGACCTGGAGTTACAACCTGTGGTTCGTGACCTGGAGTTACAACCTGTGATTTGTGACCTTGAGTTACAACCTGTGGTTTGCGACCTGGAGTTACAACCTGTTGTTTGCGACCTGGAGTTACAACCTGTGGTTTGTCACCTGGAGTTACAACCTGGGGTTTGTCACCTGGAGTTACAACTCGTGTTTTGTTACCTGGAGTTACAACCCGTGGTTATATGACCTGGAGTTACAACCCGTGGTTTGTCACATGGAGTTACAACCTGTGGTTCGTGACCTGGAGTTACAACCCGTGGTTTGTCACCTGGAGTTACAACCCGTGGTTTGTCAGTTGGAGTTACAACCCGTGGTTCGTGACCTGGAGTTACAACCTGTGGTTTGTGACCTGGAGTTACAACCTGTGGTTTGTGACCTGGAGTTGCAACCTGTGGTTTGTGACCTGGAGTTACAACCTGTGGTTCGTGACCTGGAGTTACAACCTGTGGTTTGTGACCTGGAGTTACAACCACAACCTGTGGTTTGCGACCTGGAGTTACAACCTGTGGTTTGTCACCTGGAGTTACAACCTGGGGTTTGTCACCTGGAGTTACAACTCGTGTTTTTTACCTGGTGTTACAACCCGTGGTTATGTGACCTGGAGTTACAACCCATGGATTGTTACCTGGAGTTACAATCCGTGGTTTGTCACATGGAGTTACAATCTGTGGTTCGTGACCAGGAGTTACAACCTGTGGTTTGTGTACTGGAGTTACAACCCGTGGTTTGCGACCTGGAGTTACAACCTGTGGTTTGCGACCTGGAGTTACAACCTGTGGTTTGTCACCTGGAGTTACAACCTGGGTTCGTGACCTGAAGTTACAACCTGTGGTTCGTGACCTGGAGTTACAACCTGTGGTTTGTGACTTTGAGTTACAACCTGTGGTTTGTGAACTAGAGTTACAGCCTGTAGTTTGTGACCTGGAGTTACAACCCGAGGTTTGTGATCTGGAGTTACAACCTGTGGTTTGCGACCTGGAGGTACAACCTGTGGTTCGTGACCTAGAGTTACAAGTCGTGGTTTGCGACCTGGAGTTACAACCCGTGGTTCGTGACCTGGAGTTACAACCTGTGGTTTGTGACCTGGAGTTACAACCTGTGGTTTGTCACCTGGAGTTACAATCTGTAGTTTGACACCTGGAGTTACAACCTGGGGTTTGCCACCTGGAGTTACAACCCGTGGTTTGTGACCTGGAGATACAACATGTGGTTTGTGACCTGGAGTTACAAGCCGTGGTTTGCGACCTGGAGTTACAACACGTGGTTTGTCACTTGGACTTACAACCTGTGGTATATGACCTGGAGTTACAAGCCGTGGTTTGCGACCTGGAGATACAACCTGCGGTTTGTGACCTAGAGTTACAACCCGTGGTTTGCGACCTGGAGTTCCAACCCGTGGTTATGTGACCTAGAGTTACAACCCGTGGTTTGTTACCTGGAGTTACAACCCGTGGTTTTGTGACCTGGAGTTACAACCTGTGGTTTGTGACCTGGAGTTACAACCTGTGGTTTGTGACCTGGAGTTACAACCTGAGGTTCGTGACCTGGAGTTACAACCTGTGGTTCGTGACCTGGAGTTACAACCTGTGGTTTGTCACCTGGAGTTACAACCTGTGGTTTGTCACCTGGAGTTACAACCCGTGGTTTGTCACCTTGAGTTACAACCTGGGGTTTGTCACCTGGATTTACAAGCCGTGGTTTGCGACCTAGAGTTACAACTCGTGGTTTGCGACGATGGAATATAATACGCTATACACTTTTTAAACAGAACTAGACTATAACATAGGGACATAATAAAAAGACTAAATGCTGTAAAATTGTAAATGGCAGTTCTCAACAATTTAAGCGAACTCTGGGTTTAACTTCACCAGGAAAGCCCAAACCCAAACATTTGCCAGGGATGTATAAATACATTGAAACCTTCGGAGCTATATGACCACATGGGACCTAATAATGATAGCGAAAATCATCTAAGGTCAACTTTGGAACCGGAGTTTCATAGTAATTTTTTAATTTGTTTACAGGTGGTATTAGAAAAATATGTTATAAATCATGTTAGTACCGAAGCACTGACTGCTGTATTTATTTTGATAACTTAGTGTATTTATATATCCGTAAAATGTAGTTTCTTTCTAACAAACATGTTAGGCTTTCCCGGTCTATTCAATTAACCAGCGGTATGTAAGCATTACTTAATTAATACATAATTTTGTCTGAAGTTAGGAGGAAGCAGCTGTGACGAACCTTAGCAAAAGAAAGTGCATTGGCGGATCCATGTGGGGTATGGTTAATTAGTCAAAATCGTTAAAAATTAATAATTTTTTTTTTAAAAAGTCCATCCTTCCTATAGTGTCCCTTTCAAACATGCCTTGTTCCCTGTTATATGTAGGTAATGACGACTATAATAATGAAGTTGAGCGTTCTAGAAAAGTGCGTGGATACAAAAATTAGTATAATATACCTTTTTTTATTCCAGAATCGCGTGTCGATATAAAATAAGGAGATATCGTTTGATTGCCATTGAGACAACTATCTAGCAGACTAAAATGAAGCGGATTTAAACAAATCTAGGTCACCGTACGGGCCTTCAAAAATGTGCAAAAACCCATACCGTATAGTCAGTTTTAAAAGGCCCCGACATGATAAAATGTGAAACAATTCAAAAAAAAAAAAAAAAAAAACCAAAGGCCTGAATTTGACAAAACAACAAAACAATTAGCACACTTAACCACAGGCGCTTGGGGTACATGATTTGGATATTATTTTTTTGTGTCTGTGTTCGCGCTGAATATTCTATTTTCCATTTTATACCACATACTTAACACTGCGATGCTTTGTCTTACCTATTTTATTATTTTTTTTTTGGGGGGGGGGGGGGGGGGGGGGGGGGGAATATATCTACTCTGATCAAATACGTTATTTTGCTATCCATATATTCAGTGCAAACAATGAAGAAAGAAAAAACCTCCAGTGATTCGACTAAATATCGAATGTTTATTTCACATTAATAGAGACTCTTCACTGTTTATGTGTAAAATATGGGACTATCAAACATACAACAAGTCCATTTGGTAATGGGGATATAATATATTTACCTCTGAGTAATTTTTTGACACCAATAAACAGTTTTTCCCCAATTATTTGCTTGGTGTATTACCTTTGACAACAAGTCGACACTTTTTGTGAAGAATAAAGAATATTATAACGATTCTACCGTACAATAAATTCTTATCAATGTTTCCTTTTAATTAATAAACAAGCAATTTAGTTTTTTCCAATTTTTTAGTACATCTCATTCTTTTAGTCGCTCTCTATTGAATTATAGCAAAATAAAAAGTATTTTTTTCATTTTTCTAATCAGATATTTATGACAAATGGGAGATAAACCGATTTAATCTTTTTCCTTTGCCCATTACAATATACTATACGATAACTATGTACGTTTTTAAGTATATAACTTTATATGTATATATGTATTTTTCGCACAGCTAGAATTGACAAAATGTTGCATCGTGTGAAATTTATTGGTTTGTATGTTACAGATAGCTTCAGACGCCTATACAGAGGCCATTACATAAAACTGCAGCGTAACCTTAATTCCTGTGTTCGCCATTTCAGAATCTGAAGAATATATGGTCATATTTACAAAAGAACACAAGGAAAGGTTGCTATAAGTTAAAAAAAAAAAAAAAAAAAAAACACGTCCTAAACTTCAATGGACATTCAACAAATGACGTGACATTGCTTTCATTTTGAGGTACGAACAATGAAACTACCCATGGTCATCAAAATTCGAAACGGTAAATTGGCTTTTGTCGAATTTGCATATCTACCTGAACCGATACTTAATCTGATTAACGGTGTATATTTTACGTAGTCACGTAGTAACCTCAATTCCATCATCTTTTCCTTGTTCACGACATGTCACCAAACCGTTTAGTCATGAGAATAACGACAGGTGCCACCAGCAGAACAAGGGGACCGGGTGGTTTTCCCTTTCGAAGCACGAGTATACTACCGGTTTTGAAGTGGTTTGTGTCGTCTTTCCTCCGACCTTTAATTTATTATTGTCCATCTTCGTATTGACTTAATTGAACAATTGGCATTTTTCTATCTTTTTTAGAGCTGGGACCTCTACGTACACTTTCCTGTTATTCAATTTGAGTCTTTATCCATTACTATGGCACAACATTGTTCGATTGGTTGGTTGATTGATTGGTGTTTTCTTTGCGCCACCTTAGCACGAAAGGTAATATAGTGCGAGGTAACATTTTTCCAAACTAAACATATATATACAATGAATATTGCATGTAAAGCATATCAAACTGGAATGAACTCTGCAATATTTTAAGGATGCCGTATTGTTCAACATGATACAGCTTTTCTACAAAAATCTGAACAGCATGCACTTGGGGGAGGGGGGGACTCACACATATATTCCTTTTAGATCGCAAAACAATGGACGTCTTACATGACTCCTATTTGAATTAGATTGTGCTCTTTTGTTATTTGAATGAATGTAATTATTGTTATTTCGGTCATCCATAGTTAGGTATTCTGGTTTGTCTATTCTCTGACTTCCGGTATTGCAATGGATGACCTGTCTTGTTCCGTTCAGACATGGTGTCGGGGCGGCAATACTCATATCATCATTGTCATCTTCTAAAATGTTTAAATTCGTTGTAGCCGTTTGTGGTGTTTCTGTAATTATTGCTCGTCTTCCATCGATCCCTAAACATTGACAAACATGGCTGTCCAATTCATGTTTACCCATTCGAGGCGTCTGAAAATAGTTATTTTTGACAATAATTGAGTCACAAACATGTTCAATAGTGTATAATAATAAACGACAGGAAATTAAGAAGTGGACCCGGTTTCATTTTCTATCTTTTTTTTTTGTATTAATGAATAAATAAATATACACACACACACACACACACACACACACACACACAAACACACAGTTTTGAGACTTCGACTTTTTTGGACATAGTTTGATAAGAAATCTAAATATTTATGTCCCCCCCCCCTTCAGTCATTGTCCGTCGACTTTTCAAGATTGAACCATGATTCGTTTAGAGCATATACAGTTGTTTATGTTAATTTTTAATCCAAAAAAGTTTTGAGTTTACAATTAGTGTGTTGCACGCACTTTTTATTTACTTATTTATCATATACTTAGCATTTATATAATAGTTTTTGCATATTGTATCGAGCGGAATAAACTAGCCATACGTTCACACCCAGGCTGATAACCCGTTTTAGCCCTATGTGAAGTCACGTAGTCGTGCTAATACATGTCCTTTCGCATATCGACCTCGGACTCTGTGAACAAAAACGAAGATCAGAATGGTATATAATGGTGAAATCAGGACACTCCAGTATAACATAATTATTATTCGGGCTTCACAGAGGATAAGGGTTATATTCCCTGTCAGTGTCCCATGTCCCCTTCGACTGACGGCTCAGGAGATATAAAACACTGAAAGAGAATATCAGCCTATGTCCCCTGTGATGATCACGAATAACATATAATACATATGTTTTTAAACTTTTAAACTATTTTAGAATTGAGTTTGAATAATTGTAAGTAACAGTCACACGTTTAAACTTAAATATAGAATCTTTTATATATGGGGAAGATATAGAGCATAAAATTCGAGTAGCAGTCGACCGATATTTAAACACATAAAATTGTTAAATGAAATGTAAGTTTTAACTGTATCCTGTATCACCTTAGTCTTATATATTTAACATAATCATTTCAGATATAAAAACTTCGCTTTGAGACTATCCTCATCTAATCAATCAAAAGTTTTAACTTAATTAAAAGTCGACAAATCAGAGAATAATAACACTATAGGCTCCTGTGGGCCTTGGCGAAGGAGTTTTTGATAACAATGTTAATACGAATATCAGATTTACTCGTCCCGGATGTGCATGAAATATTTTTCACTGGACGTTATGCAAACAATATTTTAACGACCGTATATTAGATTTATGAGAAATGTTTGATAAATTCAGTGCAAATTTTCAAACCAAAAGGCAACTGACATGAAGTCGCAAGTCTTTCACCAAACTAAATTTTTAAAGTGAATTACTTTTCAGAATGTTCAATGAGCTAGAAAATTAAAAAAAAAACAACTAGTAATACCTTTATCCGTTGATATGATCAAAGAGCTAGACAATGAAATATCAGTAATACCTTTGTCCGTTGATAAGCATCACTCAGATTCTTAATCGCAGATGTTTGTTGCATCAATGCATTCCTCATTGTTTTAGAACTGTTCGTCATGAATTGTACAGCATCTTTCAGTCTCTTGTTTCTTATCTTGGTAAAGTCTTTCCCATTATAATCCAGAAACATTCTAATGACATCCTCTTGATTGATATCATTTGCTATAATTTCGACGACCTTGTCAACTTGTTGGTTCATTGCCTGTTCCATACGTTTATAATATTTTTGTAGTAAATTAAGTGTTGTTTCCAAGTTTTCCATCCTTGCATTCAAGGTATACGTGTCGGCAGAGCTACATGTAGTTGCCGCGTTCGACTGAAGGTAGAGAGATTTGACGGTATAGCAATCATCATACCTGTATCTAGTGGCTTCAACTGTTAGAGCACTCAACATGCTCAAGGTGCTTGTTGTTCCATCTCGGTTTTGACAACACCACGGTGGCAATGGTACATCGTTTGTGGTGACTTCTGATGTGTCCGTGTTGTTGTTTGTTTTAGCAGCACCCGATAGCGCACTTCGGGAGTTTGATGTCGTTCCGTCTTTGTGCTGACAGCACCATGGTGGAAGACGAGTTTCATTGTGTGTTGTCTCCTGGTCTCTGTACGATATTGCGTCAGCTTCAATATTATCGTGGAAGTTGGATGTTATTCCGTTTCTGCAATGCCAAAATGTTGGTGAATCAGTCGAGCGTTTTACGTTTTTAACGATCGTTTGATGTGCCCGTGTGCATATGCACGGAACTGACGTGTTACCAGAAGAAGATGAGGATCCAGTTTGTAACAAACAACAGTTTGGTGGTAAAACACTCCAAAGTTTTTCCATACTTGTTACGGTTTCATTATGTTGATCACGTCACTCCGTGGCAGTGAGACACTCCTGATGTGTTTTCACTAAGGGAAAGTCCCGAAACGGATATAAATAGTGAAACTTCATTACAATAAAAATATAATGTCAAGGAGAAAAAAGTATGTTATGTTTTTACAAATGTTACCTTTCCTTGGATGTAACGTCTATTATGTCAAGTCGTATAATATGTTTTATTTATATCAAAATACAAAATTTTTGCACGCATCATTAATTTCTATTACACTATCACAATACTTTTTTTTAACAAAGTTTGATTCATCACGGGAGATTCTGTTCTAGATTAATTCTTTTTCTCTTACAATAAAAAATGAGTGTGTGGTTCAAATAGAATTAGTACTATCATAACGCTGTTAAAGGTAAAAAGCACTCGAGCAACTGAGTTGACTGCAATTTGTGGGGAATTCTTGTTGATTAATATTAAGTCGGGTAGTACTATTGTGTGTAACATCATTTGCATATTCCTCCCTTTTCCCTTTTGTCAAGGTTTTAATTATAATATTGCTATGATATTGCTATGGTATTATTATACTACTATTGCCACGGTATTGTTATGGTACTATCATGGTATTGTTATAGTATTGCCAAGGAATTGTTATGGTAATATCAAGGTATTGTTATAGTAATGTCAAGCTATTGTTATCTATGGTATTGTTATTGTAATGTTAAGGTATTGTTATGGTACCTCATGGTATTGTAATTGTAATGTCAAGGTATTATTATGGTACCTCAAGGTATTGTTATAGTATTGACAAGGTATTGTTATGGTACTGTCAAGTGTATTATTATAGTATTGCCAAGGTATTATTATGGTACTGTCTTGGTATTTTTATAGTATTGACAAGGTATTACTATGGTACTGTCATGGTATTGTTATAGTATTGCCAATATATTTTTATAGTAATGTCATGGTATTATTATGGTACTACCATGGTAAAGTGATAGTATTGCTAACGTATTGTTATAGTATTTCCAATGTATTGTTTTAGTTTTGCCATGGTATTGTCATGGTACTGTCATGGTATTATTATAGTATTGTCAAAGTATTGTGTTGGTACTGTCATGGTATTGTTATAGTTCTATCATGGTATTGTTATGGTTCTGTCATGGTATTGTTGGAATTTTGCAAAGGTGTTATAATGGTACTGCCATTGTATAGTTATAGTATTGCTAAGGTATTATTATAGTATTGTCATGGTATTGTTATAGTATTGCCAAGGTATTGTTATAGTATTGCCATGGTATTGTAATAGTAGCATCAAAGTAATGTCATATCATTGCCATGGTATTGTTATAGTAGCGTCAATGTATTGTTACAGTATTGCCATGGTATTTTAAAAGTTTTGCCAAGGTATTGTTATGGTACTGTCATGGTATTGTTAAAATATTCCCAATGTATTGTTATGGTACTGTCATCGTGGAATTGTTAGAGATTTTTACTTATGTTGTATGTATGTGATGTATATTTACATAGTTTTGGTTGCTGGATCCCAATTATTGTCACGTTAAACAATTATGTTTGTTTGGGTTGCTTACTTGATTTTACTCAATTTTGACTATTAATTGTCATACAAGTTGGAAGTTTAGCTAGCTATAAAACCAGGCTTAATTCTCCATTTTCATCGAACAAATGCCTGTACCAAGTTAGGAATACGACTTTGTCAGGTTTTTTGGGCTTGCCCCTTTTTTAATTTATCTTGGAGTTCGGTATTTTTGTTAATGCTTTTCTTTTTCTTAGACTATATGTAAAGTTTATCTGCGAAAAAAATAAGTGAAGAGTAAAATACGGGAAAATGGAATACATTATTTTTCTCTGATATCTTTTGACGAGAAAGACGTTTCTTTGCAAGGTTCGTACAAGTCCACGAAGGTGTAATTTGACAAAGTTATTGATGTCTAAAAACCACTTTAACCGCAGACTGAACATAAAAGGTGGCAATAAAGACGCTTTCCGCGACATTCAATCATTATGCAATTATCACTAGTTTTATTAATGATATGTTTCACATAACATGCATAATGTGTTTTAATTTTGAACAATGTATCTAGCCTGATTTAAGTTGGGGGTTATGAACTGACTAGTGGGCTGGTGATACAATATTTAAGCTATGGGTAGTTTTGTAGCACATTGTTCTGCTAAAGCGGAAAACAACTTGTTTAAATGTTTATGATTTTGAGTCGTGGCTTGTTTTTTAATTCTCTTGAAGTACAATTGTGGTATTTCTTTCTGCTATATCAGTACCTCATAACGTTTTGTTGACGGTTACGACCCGCAAACAATTTTCTTAAACGGGTTACTGGACAGATTATACGATGGTGTACGTTATGTTTTTTTTCCTATTATCTCTGATATGAACTCTAACATAAAAAAAAAATAATATATATAGTATTACACGACGTGCTTTTCATATACATTTTTATCTTTGTCAATTTATCTTTTAAAAAGCATACCAGTGTCAGATGTCAATCGGCAATCCTCGAAGGTCAAACCGATGGTTTATTAGGTTGCACCAAGTCCCAAAGTGCTGATACATTTAACGATTTCATGTAATGTGTGACTTTTGTAATTTTTATATAACGTTTTAGTATGTCGTAAATCAAATTTGAAAATAGACGTCAATTCGGTGGACAAGACTTTGACAACTTATAATTACCCAATTAAACTACCGACAAAGATTTTGAACTAATCTAGTTTTTCGTCTATCTTATCTTCGATAAAGAGAAACTACAACGCAGAGATTCCTTGAACGGGGATTATCTATTTCAATTATACGAGTTTTCATCTTGACACCAAAATTCAATTTCTTTCAAACATATTTCGTACCAAGTGTTTTGTTGGATATCCAACCACAACATACATCACATTGATCACCTTTTGGATTTTTTTTCAGAGACAAGTGCATGTGTTACAGAATATAGAATAATGGGCAAATACTACAGAAAATAGATCACAAAAGTAAAGAATAGAGACAAATGGGCAAAAAAAAAAAGAAAAGATAATAATGTGGTGCTAAAATATAAAGAATAGAAAATTATGAGCTAAATTATAAAGAATAGAGAAAAATGGATTAAAAGATTAAAGTATAAAGAATTGTAGGACCCCCATCCAGACCCTTCTCTGTTTAGTGATTTTCCCAAAAAATATGGATTTCTATATTCTTATCAATAGCTTCGAAAAATACAGATAGAAAAAAAGCATTTGCTTTAATTGATTATAGTCATGCTATTTTCTTTAAAAGTCTGCCCTATCCTTCTATAGCAGCTTAAGTTTCACTTCCAAATGAATGCATAATTCATTGTTGTTTGCCTAAAGTTAAGTAGCAAATATGTTGTGCTTGTTCAGGACGAGAACAAATGCGAAAACGTAAGTTGTAAAATGCATACAGCTGTCATTATTATAGCTGAATATCATGTGTCCTAGAGTTTTGAAATGAATTTAAAAGGGTAGCAATGTCAGAAATTGCTATAGACATTTCTAAAAGAGAGGCGAAAGATACCAAAGGGACATTTAAACTCATCAGTCGAAAACAAACTGACAACGCCATGGCTAAAAAAGAAAAAGGCAAACAATAGTACACAAAACACAACAGAGAAATCTAAAGACTTAAAAACACAAACCCAACTCAAAACGGGGTGATCCCGGGTGCCCCGGAAGGGTAAGCAGATCCTGCTCCACATGTGGCACCCGTCGTGTTGCTCATGTTAATTCAAACCTGTTGATAAGTCTATTTCGTTAGGTCACATTCGGGGAAAAGGGGACGGGGTTACAATTGGAACATATCCGTTGTCAGCCTTTAAAATGATATTCCAAAACGATCAACCAACTCGTGATGGCGTCCGTAAAATTTACGAAGGGACGATTTCAACTTCACCACTTGAAACTCTTGGTTTAATAGCTTCCTAGCGACGAGCAACCTTCTATCAAGGAAATCATGATAGGAAATAAAAGCCCTGGAATATCGTATCAACTGGGAGGTAAATACTCCGGATGCAGGCGCTGCTGGAATGTTGCTACATGGAAATGGAAAGTTCACAATTGGGAAGCTGAAATCATCTCTTGTTTTTATCTCTCAATCGTCTCATTTAAGATAGTGGTTTCTTGCATCTTTTGAGATTTTAATGGAATCAACTTGAAAGTAAGTACAGACTGTATATTTAATGGTAAGAATGTGTATCTTGTTTGATGAAAATGTATATATGTAGGCTTCAAAGGAACTGAGTTGCTCATTGTGCTAAGGGAGCTACCATTAGATTTTTATGGGGGGGGGGGGGGGCTAGGATGAAAAATTTTGTCCTGCATTTTATTTTAGTTGTAATCTCTGTCCTGCTTTTTTATTTTTCACTCCATTCGTCCTGCCTTTTTTTCGTTAGTTTATCCCGACTCTTTTTACATAAATTTTCATCCTGCCTTTTTTTTTGCCAAGTTACTCATCCTGCCTTTTTTTTTTACTTAAAACTCCTGTCCTGCCTTTTTTTCAAATTTCATCCTAGCCCCATATAAATCAAATGGTAGCTCCCTAATATCAAATTACCATGCCATAAGGAATATATACATCAACTTTGATGTTTAGTTTCCATTGAAAAATCATTGTTGTCAGGGTTAATATGTAATCAGAATCACCATTAAAGGACATTAAATTCAATAAATACAATATTGCACGTGTTATGTATATTTATCTGTGTAAATGTATCTATCTAAATTCATACTGGGATCACGTAATAATATCGGCAATCTTCAAAGGTCAAATCAACGGTTAATTCATTTAGATTGCATCTGGTCCCAAAGTGTTGACACTTTTTTTTATAATTTCATGCACTGTTTTTAAGTTTCCTTTTTCCCTTTTTAGATTTTAATATATGTTTCAATAGGCAGTATAAATCAAATTTTACGGTTTTGGTAAATTAGGTTGACTTGAATTTGACAACTAATATCCGATAAAGATTTTTCTGGGACTTATCTATTTGTTTTTCTTTCCTATCTTTAAAGTGTAACCAAAACACAGAGATTCCGTGAACAGAGATTTTCTATTTCAGTTATATATATCATATACGAGTTTTTATCTTCTCTTAATGACACAAAATTTTAATTTCTTTCATACAAATATTTTTATAACGAGTGTTTTTTGTGGAAAATCTAACCACAACACGTATGGCATTGTTCGCCTTTTGGGTGTGTTGAAGAACAATGATGTCTAATGATGACCTCTATAAGGGGATTGTCCCAAACAATACCGATGCCTATATTCTTTTCAATAGACACTTTAGAAATACAGACAGAAAAAAACCATTTATTTTGTTGATTATAGTCAAAATGTAATTTTTATTGATTATAGTCATGATGTAATCATGTTATTTTTACAAAACCTTCCCTATCCTTCTATTTAATTCATGCATGTTCAATAAGAGTACAATGCACTTTTAAAACTGTTATTAATATAACTAAAAGATCATGTTTCCCAGATTTGTGAAATTAATTTAAAAGGATTGCAACTAATGTCTGTAGTGCAGAAAATTACCTGAGACATGTTAAGAGTGGTTTCTTGCATCCGTATCTGTATTGGTACGTGTAGAATCCTATTTAGGCTTTTATACACGGTGGAGATCTTTTGAGATTTCTATGAAATCTACTCGAAAGTGCAGACACGTATATTGAATGCTTGTTTGAAGAAAATGCTTTTTAGCTCCAAAGAAACCGAATTGCTCATCGTGCGAAAATATTTCAAATTGGTTAAAGTTAAAATAAACTGCTTCGCCGAGCGCAGCTGGATACGACCGCAGAGGCCCAACCCTGAACAGTTGGGGCAAAAAAGGACACAATATTCAGGCTTGATACAGGTCTGAATTTGGATTGTAATTAAATATTTGACACATTATAGGTTTCTGACATAGAATAAGTGAGTCAAAGAACTTGAAATTGGATGTATGATTTGAATTTATATTCAATTGAAGAGGTCTTGCTGTTGTGCAATACACTGAGCTGTTGCGCAATACTCAGTAAATCTATTTCCAGACTATATACAAAGAATAAGCAAAATAAATTGACCCCAAATTTTTTTCTTTGGAAAATTGACAATTTCTTAAATCTTGAGGGAAAAAAAATTGAACCCCCGCCCCCTCCCCCAAAATTTTTTTAATTTTTTTTTTCACCGCCCCAAAAAAATTTTTTTTACCTCTCCCTCCAAAAAAAATAACATTTGAAGAGAATGTTCTTTTGAGGAAAAAAATATTGCCCCCCCCCCCCCTTTTCCAAAAAAATTAATTTTGTTTTAGACCCTTTTTGGCCCCTAATTCCTGAACGGTTTGGGCAATTACCCCCAAAATGAATCCCAACCTTCTACTTGTGGTATTGAAACTTGTGGTACAATTTCAGAGCAATCAAAATACTTACACAAGTTATTGTCCTGAAACTAGAAAAATGCTTGTTTTGGCCCCTAATTCCTAAACGGTCGGGACCATCACCCCCAAAAACAATCCCAACCTTCCTTTTGTGGTATTGAACCTTTTGATTAAATTTCATAGAGATCCATACACTTAAACTAAAGTTATTGTCCGGAAACCAAATGTCTTCGGACGACGCTGACGCTGACACCGACGATGTGATACCAATATTATATACGACAAATGCAACCAAAGAAACAAACAAACAAAAACATTCACATATATCAAATGACCCTGCCCTAAGGAATTATCAAAATATATTTATTTTGCTGGTTAGTTTCCGTCTTAATATTATTGTTGTCAAGATTAATATGTAATATATAATCAGAATCATCATTAAAGGCCAATAAATCCTATATGGAATCATTTAAAATTTTCAATTAATTTACGAGCATTCTTAATTGCAAGCTAAAATAACATTAGAAAAAGCTTTCAACTATTAGGGATATACCATCCTCATTTTACGGAGAGTTTTTTTTTATAGCTCCTATATTTAGACACGACCCATGTAGACTTAAAGGTCATTTGAGTAAAAGAGAGGCGAAGAATACCAAAGGTACATTTCAAACTCATCAGTCGAAAATAAACTGACAACGCCATGGTTAAAAAAGAAAAGACAAACAACAGTACACAAAACACAACATAGAAAACTAAAGACTGAGCAACAGAACCCCACCAAAATCTAGGGGTGATCTAAGGTGCTCCGGAAGGGTAACTTAACATTGTAATAATATCAAGTTTTAATGTCTTTGGACATTGATTTTCCTTAATTAATAAATTACAAAATAACTAACTATATATTCATTCCTCTTGTCGATGTTTATATTTCAACATTGCACAAGGTCGCGTTTTCCCCATACTGTTGAAGCAAGGATTTATAGAGTATAAATTCTTGGTTAGTCGTCTTTACACTTATTCCATAGGCTGTGTACTGAATGATATTTTAATTTTGATTAAAGATTTTAATTATATCTATAAATGGCTGTCATGTTATTTTAAATACTTCCTCCAATGCTGTTCAATACAGAAACCAATTTCTTTACTTTTTTTCTAATGCCCATTCTTATCTACATGCCCAAGCAAATTACTCCAAGAAAAATTAAAAGCCATGTTTAAGAGAATAAGTTTGTAAACCAATATTTCAAGAACTTCATATTATGTGCAGCAGACTTTTGACCAACTGACCTTGAAACCAATTAGCATCTTTTTCCTTTTTACAATCACTTGTATCCGTGTTTTTTTTTTTTTTTTTTAATATTTAACCTTACAAGTTTATCTCAAGAAATCATCCAGAAACAGCAAATTGCAACAAAGACAATTTTATTATGTTTCCAGTCAATTTTTAGCAACTGTAATTGTGACCTTTCCCTTTTAACCTTGATGATGATTATGATGGATGGTTGCTTAACGTCCAGCGGCAAATTAATATGTATATTCAGGATGAAAATGTGTTAAGGCAATATGAATATTAACCCTGCTTCAGACAGACACGCTGAGTCGGGTTTTCAACATGCTAGTTCACACTCCAGGCAAACACGCTACCACGAGACCACCAAGGCGTCTTTTAACCTTGAAATCAATCTGATTCCCCCCCTGTAACTTCCATTTGTACAAGTTTAATTTCTCTCTCGTAGAGGAAACTGAGTTGTCATTCCCAATCCCCCCGAAAAAAAATAACTTTAAAACAAATGCAAATTCGTCAGGAAACCATGTATACCAAAAATCTTTTTGGTCACAATTATCTTCAACTTATCAATTCCAAAATCTATAGAAGTTTCTAACTTTTCCTTAATCTTCCATCTGTACATGTTGCGTTCCAATTCAGCAAGGTGAACTCAAGTTACCATTCAAAAAGCATTGGTTTAGTACTAATTGATGGAGGGATGAAATGACAACAATATGCTCCCAATTTTTTTCAAGGAAACTCATCATATAAGAGCAATAACTCCTACCAGGACATTTGATGGTTTCAGTCACTTAAACACATTCCCCATTTCCATTCTCAATTTTATAGTGATGACGGACAGGCATATAAAAAACTGGCCATCTCAATATAGCCAAGAGTGGTGAAAGTGGCATCAAACACCAATAATCAATCAATCAAGAATCTTCCGGATCTAGTATTGTCTGCCTTTCTTTGAAATTTACTGCACAATCTCCATACTTTCTCTTGTTATCCATGAACAAAACTTTAGTACTTTTTTTATTTGAGACAAAAAGCAATCTGTTAATATAACCACCAGTCAATAAACTATCAAGTCTGCACTGAAAAGGAGTGCTCCATACTTTTTCTTTTACACTACTGATAGTACAAGAATTATGGAACTTTCATATGTGAAGTTCATAATGTTGCTGATGCCTTTCATAGCTTACTATACGGTGTGAGTTTTGCTCATTGTTGAACATACAATGACCTATAGTTGCTTACATTTTAATTATTTGGTCTCTGGTGGATAGTTGTCTCATTGACAATCACACCACAATTTTTATTTGTATATACATATGTTCACATAAACAAGTATTTATCCAACATATTGTATTGAAATCATATTATCCTTTAAGATATCATAGTTCAACCTCATTCAAATCATAGCATTTTGCTCTTCCACATCACTGATATTGTTTATGAAAATTATAAAGGGGAATAATAATTCACAAACAGTTTGTTATATGTTTACTTCCACTGAAATAGCACATTTCCACATAAAATGCAATGTTAAAGTAATACATCTGAACATTACAAAGTCATTAATGATATACATTGTTCTTTATTTTCACATTTTGTGTTCAGTTTGGATGATAACAGTTGCAACAAGTGAATAACTTCTTTGTATTATACTGGTATCCTATAACAGATGAAATCACCAGAATAAACCTATCTGTCAGACAATGATTCTGTACTCTGATACAGTCATTTTAAAATGAAAAACATGATTTTAAAGATCATCTTATCTACAATAATGTGTAGAAAGTAAATTTTGGTCAATTGTTCAATAAATAATTATTACTGACATCAACATGTACAATTATCACAACTAAGTGTTGATTTGACTTTCATTTTGTTCAATCTGATCCAGATTCTGATCCTGATCCTTTGTGTGATGATTCTGGTGTTGCTAAGATCTCTTCATCTGATGGCAGCTGTGAAAAAAAATAAAAATTAATGGTTATCTTAGAAAGAAAATTTAACATTTGAAGATTTCAAAATGATGATGGAAGGCTGTTTAATGTCAAACATATTTTAGGAGTAATAGATCTCACCTTAAGCTCTCATATATCATATGAAATATGTCCACTCCTTACTTATTTTTATAAATAGAACATATAAAGTTTTTTAATGGTGTACTGATACATGATATGCAACAGAAAAGTGTCTATGTGAACAAAAATTTCCAAGGAGAAATTATTTTGGAGCTGCATGCACGCCAAAAATTTGCAGAAGCTGTAATTTTTTTTTATTGAAAAGTCAATTTCTCCAAAATAGTAGCAGGAAAATTCAAAGAATTAGGAATCAAATTGGTGTGGCCTAAGATCATCAATCTAAATATAAAGTGCACAACTTCATGTACTGTAGAAGAATCTGGGCAAGTTTGGTAGAAATCTATCTTTAAAGAGTTGCAAATTTTAAAAGTGTGTTGCCTACAATAACTCAAGACCACATAAGTTATCCCTGTGTCGTTCCCCCCCCCCCCCCCAAAAAAAAAATAAAATAAAACAACATTACCTCTCCTGCACTACTAGACTTCTCATCTTCACTCTCTTTTTTCTTTTGTTCCTTCTTTCCCTTTTCCTTTCCTTTTTTCTTTCCTTCCTTAGGCTTTGATTTTTCTTTCTTTATTTTTTTCTTCAGTGGGGCATCCGAGTCTGAGCTAGAATCACTTGAGATGTATTCTTTGCTCTTATAATTCCCTCCCGCTCCAGCTTTAGTATCAACAGCCTTCTTTGGACTGGATTTCTGAGATTTCTTCTTTTTACTACTACCTGATCTGTTAAAAAAAATAGAAGGATACAGATTTGTAAAAACAATTTTGCTTGATTCTGACTCCTAGATATTTATTTCAAGTGAATTATATTGTCATATGATTATTTATCTAAATAAATATTGTTTAAACAAAAAAAAATATAATACTTTTCTATTTTCATACTTCTAACTTTTAAAACAAAGCAGATTGACATGGTACAGAATGCCCAGTGATGTGGTGTCCATTTCTTAAATGAAACTGACAATTTATCATTTACTTACACTTTCACTTTCTATATACAGTCAGCATTGGAAACCTCACCGGAGAATTGTTTGTAACTTCATTAAAAGTGATTTTTATACTAAACTTTAAGAGTTTAGTGTTAGATTTATTCAATAAAGACATAAAGGGGACACAGGGAGGTACTTTAGAAATCTCATCTATCAGTCATTGTTTTTTTTTAAGTGAAAGTGAAAAAAAATTCTAAATTTGCCTCTTTAGATTGTTATCCCTTTTTTAAAGTGCCTTCCCAGGGTATTATATATGTTTTTATGGAACAGCCTTTATGTGTAAAATTGAGAATGGAAATGGGGAATATGTCATAGAGACAACAACCCGACCAAAGAGCAGACAACAGCCAAAGGCCATCAATGGGTCTTCAACGTAGCGAGAAAATCCCACACCTGGAGGTGGTCCTCAGCTGGCCATTAAATAATAAATTGCTTCGCCGAGCGCAGCTGGATACAAACGCAGAGGTCCAACCCTGAACAGTTGGGGCAAAAATGGACACAATATTCGCGCTTGATACAGGTCTGAATTTGGAATGTAATTAAGTATTTGACACATAATAGGTTTCTGACACAGAAATTGTAGTCAAAGAACTTAGAATTGGTTATATGAATTGAATTTATATTCAATTTTTTGCTTTTGATTGCAATACACTATGCTGTTGCGAATTGACCCAGGAAACCCAATTCCTAAATGGTTTGAGCCATAACCCCGCAAAGCCAATCCTAACCATCCCTTTGTGGTATGGAAACTTGTGGTATAATTTCAGAGTGATCCGTACACCATTCCATAAGTTATTGTCCCAACCTTCCTTTTGTGGTTATAAACCTTGTGTTTAAATTTCATAGATTTCTATTCACTTATACTAAAGTTATTGTCTGGAAACAAAATGTCTTCGGACGATGCTGACGATGTGATATCAATATACAACCGCAAAATTTTGTGTGGTCGTATAAAAATGTGTACTTACTTGCTTTCTTCTCCTTCACTTTCCTCACCACTGCCTGCCTCAGGTTTATTTTTTAGATATTCCTCCATAGCAACGTTATATTCTTCCTTTGCTTTGAGAAATTTTTGCTCCCATTCCTAAAAAAGTTCAAACAGTAGCAGATATTAGTAAACTGTTTAACACATAATTACACCTTATATAAGAATGTTGGATTTTGATTGGTTGGTAGCCAGTGTATTTTTCCCATATTCTAACATTTTTCTCATTTCAAACGAACTTGCCTGTTTTTCATCACTGCCGGTGAATTTGCCTCAAATTCCCCTCTATGCCGTGGTATTTGCCATTTTGGATATTCCTTTTTTACCCTCTCGAGCCTCTTCCCGCCAAAATTTTGAAGGAATGACAATGACGTTTACACATTATAGCAGTGTTCTCCCCAGGATTTTTGGATAGCACCAGGGTAACGCGTGTCAAAATGATTTGTACAATATGCTGTGTCGCTTTGCATTGCTTTTTTTTTCTTGTTAGTTTTTGTGTCATTACCTTTTTGTCTTTGTTTTGTTTACTGTGTTATGTAGACTTTGGGTCAAAAAATTACTGGTAAAAAAAGAAGTAAATCAATAAACAGTTTGTATACTTTAATTTCTTTTAAGAATAAATAAAAGAAAGCACTATTAGTCTTTAAACTTAAGTCACTTTTTATATTTTGATCAAGCCAATTTGTCCTGATACTTGTAGTTACACTACACTTTCCCCATTTTTGTTAGATTACACCATAACAATTAAATTTAAACAAGATTAAATTTTAATGCAGAACCTCTAGTAAATTAAAAACTATTTTCCATAGCTTTAGACATGATTCTTTTAAACAACAATACAATTATTATTAGAATCATTATTGTGTTACTTGGTAGATAGACATGTAAAGTAAATTTAAATCATCTATATGTACACCCACATATCATATCAAGCTGAGTTCCAATCAGTGTTTAAAGACTGCGAAGAAATCAATTCCCAATTAGAAAATACTACCTATTTATTATAATATGTCTGTGCATTAATAAAAGTATGATTATCAAAAATAATTTGCAATATATTTTTGTTGGTATGTTCAAAGAAAGTTTTTATCCTTAAGGTAACATTCTTATATAATTTTGCATTCAATTTGTACTTTATTTCTATTTTCAATGATAGATGATATTTTAGGAGCACTTATTTGTAATAAGCTAATTCAGGGGAAGTAACTCCAACACGTTTAAAATACGCAAGTTATTTATAACCAAAGGCTGGAGTAATAGAGTTAATTAACAAATGTCTGCTTGTCCCTCACAAGTCTGATCATTAATTATGATCTCTTAATTAATTAAAACACAAAAGAATCATGTACATCGATTAAATCCAATCATCAAGGTTAACCTCAAAAGGTAAATCGATCACGTGGTGTAAACAATCAAGTTGTTTGAACTGGTTTGAACTGGTCAATTTTCATCTGAAATTTTATACCCCACGGAAAAGGTTTAACAAGTCGTTTAAAACTTTACCGATTTACGATTTTTTTACCAAAAAATTTAGCACCACGGAGAAAAATTATACATCGCGGCAAGAACGATACCACCACAGTAGAAAATTATACATTGCGGGCCCGCTGTCCTTTAAGGGCCTGGGGAGAACACTGATTATAGATACCATGACATTACACAAAGACAGCTTTTAAGCGTATAAGTACATGGTGTAATTCCCACGGTACTACGATAGTCTCTACTTAACCTCAAAAGTATGCATAATCAGGTCTACAGATTACAGCTTACTAGTGAAAAAAAAAGATTTCCCTTAACCTGTACAGAGAGTTTCAATCAAAATCTATTCAGTGTAATTAAACAGATATATCATGTTAGGGAGGGGTATTTGCGAAAAATACCAGTCTTGGCACCAAATTTCCCTCGCCTAGAGGCTCTGGAAATTTTACAGTCCCTTGACTGGTATTTTTGCAAATACCCCTCCCTAACATGATATATCTGTTCAGAAATACACCTCATCTGTGTGACCAGAAATACTGAACTTCCAACAACTGTTGATGCTAATGACACTGGAAACCAACCCCTTAGTATTGCCTCTGTGACTTTTGTGCAAGTGAGACAAAAGTTACTTCATAAAACAATTTAAATAGATTTATTTTTAATAAACTAAATGAAATCTGAAATTCAACAGTGGGAGCACTGAGGTTGATCTTTATCAATTACAGAAGGAACAAATGAGTAAGATATTAATAAACTGCATGTAAATGACCAGTTAGGAAATATATACATATAGATATGTAATGAAGAGCATCAGTATCTGAGAGGTCTAAGAAGTTCATTTACAGTCCTGACTAGCCTGTTTGAATCCCACTTGTGGCAACATGTGTTTGACACTGAACTAAATTGACTGGAATTGCAAGTTTTCCTTCCAATAAAACAGGCTTCCATAATATATATATCCAAGGTCAGTAAAAGTGACACCAAAGCACACACATAATGTACACCCAAACCATGCATTACAATTTAAACGGATTTTTTCTTATACTTCAATCCCAAAATACAGCAGGGCCATTATCATGATTATGTAGAAGTTTTGTTAACTTTAACAATTTTTGAAAAACTTGGCTCCAAGCGTAAGAATTCCTAATGAAAGGTTATCCAGAAATTTCCTCATAAGTAATCCATTGTGTATATTATTTTTCCTTTTATAGCTATGTTAGCCATCTTGAATTTCAGATCAAACCACTAATCATAAAATGGTTGAAAAGCGATATTGTAAACTTACTCCTCGTTCACTAGCATCCATAGCTCTCCAAAGTTCTCCGCCTTTCTTGGATATATCGGTGATGGAAGCATCAGGGTTCTTCTCTTTGATATCATTTCTGTTTGTACTGAACCACATCATATATGATGTCATTGGTCTCTTAGGTTTGTTTGGGTCAACATCTTTCTTCTGCTTCTTCTTCTTTCTTGTTGAACCTTCTTTCTGCATATGAAGAAAAGAACAAGTTTGTGACAATTCTATTTCTTTCTATTCTAAGATTGTTTGTATGCTTGATTTTTTTGTGTTAACATCCAGTATGGTATTGAAATCATGTAGTCTCTATTTATATATTTTTTTTAATTTTGAATGTTATTTTTTTCAGTTACTATGGATTCATTTATTTTTCTTGGGCACCAATTTTTGTGGTGTTCAAGAAGTCTGCAAACAAGCCTTTAGAAAATTTAAAGTGTTCTTTGGTGAACATTAGATTTCTTGATTCACCTTTAACGAAATCCACGAAAATTAGTATCCCAAATAATCATGAATTTACAGTAATTTAGATTTAAAAGTGCTTGTCCAAGACCGGGAAGTCTTACAAATATTTTACCACAGTTTTTGCAGTTTTCGACTTCTTTTCCTTTTCCTTCTTTTCTTTCTTTTCTTTCTGTTGTTTCTTTTTCTCTGCCCTCTTTTCTTTAGCTTCTTCGTCTTGCTCCCCATCTTCACTAGCATTGTCTCCCCCTGAATCATACTCGTAGTCAGTTTCACTATCTGAGGTTGTTGGTGGATTGCTGTCATATCTACAAAATTTACATGAATTTTACTCTCATATCCACAAAACGTATATGTTTTTGATTGTTAATATCAGACAACGTTGACAAATGGTGACTGGGGATTGCAAATATGGTAATCTACCATCTGCCATTAAAATCTATGATGGGCATGTCAATTAACTATGCAAGATATATACATACACAATGATGTAAGGACAGACGGAGAAAATTAAATCTTACTACCAAAGGAAAGGTGCTACAATACTAATTCTTTACTAATTTCTGCCTTACACAAATATTTCCCTCCTTTTCCACTGCTACAAGAGATATTGAGCAATTAAAAAGAACAGCTTTTGTATCAAGTTTAAATTATTGACAGAAGGATCAATAATTGTATTTCAACAAAAAATAGTAATAAAACATTATGCAGAAAATCGAAGTAAAAAAAGAGGTGGAAGAAACCAAGGAGACATTCATAACTCAGAAGTCAAAAAGAATCCGACGTCTTGCAAAAATACAAAAGATGAGGAAAGGGCAGAAAATTCTGCAGAACACTACACAGAAAAATTAAATTGCAACACACCACCACTAAAGTCAGACTTTTCATAACAGTTATAAGTAGTAAAAGCTGTTGCAGTATGCAGCCAATGATTAGGTACTCTTATATACATGAAAACTCCAAACATGTTTACCCTTGGACTGTACAGAATCACTACTATAACCTTCTGATATTTAACTATGTCATAGACCAGCATAACTACTTTAATTTTTAATTTTCAATGGCGTCGTCGCTACTGCAACATGATTTATACTTACTCTTCAGCCACTTCACTACCACTCTCACCAGGGTTGAACGATTCATCTGAAAAACGTAAAAATATCTTTAAACCTTTTCATTTAAGATTTCTTATTAATATTCAGGCAACACAAAATTGTGCATTCAAATATTTGAACAGCAGTCTCTTATCTTATATAAACATCAATCACTTATTTCATATTCCAAGTATATAATAAACTGTTGTCACAGAGACATGTCTCGCCTTTTTGTAATTTTGATAATGCAAATGTTGAAATTAAAATAGCAATACTTTAACATATAAGTTATGCAAATATTCAAAGTCGATGAACCATGACTGAAGGTACATGGCTAAACAATCTCCATGGAATGAGATGTGCCAATGCTAATACAACTGCATACCAAATACCATTGACTTATTATAAGTCGTTCCCTTTAAACAAACCTAAACACAAACATTAACTTGTAAACTATGTAAAAGTTTCAAAGTCAATGAACCATGATCAGGGGTGGGGCTATATAACCTCCATGGAAACGATACTTGCAAATGCCAATAAATTTGCATACCAAATATCATTGACTTAACATTAGCAGTTCATCTTAAACTGATCTAATCACAAACTAATACATGTAAACTAAGCAAAAGTTTCAAAGCAAATAGACCATGACTGAAGGGGCGGGGCCAAATATTCTCCATGGAAATGAGATGTACTAATGCTTATACAACTGAACACCAATTAACATTGGCCTACCACTAATGGTTCCCCTTGAACTGACCTAATCACAAACTAATACATGTTAACTTAGCAAAATTTTCAAAGTCTATAGACCATGACTAAGGGGGCGGAGCCAAATAATCTCCATGGAAATGAGATATGCCAATGCTTATACAACTGCATACCAAATATCATTGACCTACCACTAGTGGTTCCCCATAAACTAGACCTAATCACAAACTAATACATGTAAACTATGAAAAGTTTCAAAGTCAATAGACCTTGACTGAGGGGGCGGGGCCAAATAATTTCCATAGTAATGAGATGTGCCAATGCTAATACAACTGCATACCAAATATCATTGACCTACCACTAGTGGTTCACCATGAACTAGACCTAATCACAAACTAATACATTGTTGACGCCATCGCCGGACACAGCATACCTATGTCTCGCTTTTTGACTCCGTCAAGGCGAGACAAAAATCAATGGACTATTGCTTTAAATACAATGGATGTGGCCGAGTTGGAAAGGATTCTGTTGTGTTTGTTTGCACTGTATTCATGTCAAGTAGTGTTGTCATTTTAGAGGTATTTTAACATGGCCATAAAACCAGGTTCAACCCACCATTTTTTCTTTTTAAAAATCTCTGTACCAAGTCAGGAATGTTGCAGTTGTTATCATATAGTTCATTTCTATGTATGTTGGCATTTGTTTTTGTTGCTGTTCAGTGTTTCTGTTGTTTTGTTGTTTTCAACTTATACTTGATGTGTTACCCTTGGTTTTAGTTTGTAACCTGGATTTGTTTTTTCTTAATTGATTTATGACTGTTGAACAGCTGTTTTTTCTTAATTGATTTATGACTGTTGAACAGTGTATACTACTGTTGCCTTTATTTCTACAAAATCCCCCCAATAGTTTATTTGTAATTTTGCATACATCAAATAAACATACAAAAACAACTGAATGACAATGTCCAAAATTGTAACTTCTCTTCCTACCTTCAACAAATGATTTTAATGGAACAGGCCTTAGTTATTTAAATCCAACAATTTACCTGAGCTGTCACTATCGTCATCCTTGTCTCCACTGAACCTGTCTTTACCCTCCTGTTTCATACGTTCTAAGTAATGATCAATATTTACCTGAGCTGTCGCTATCGTCATCCTCGTCTCCACTGAATCTGTCTTTACCCTCCTGTTTCATACGTTCTAAGTAATGAACAATATTTACCTGAGCTGTCACTATCGTCATCCTCGTCCCCACTGAACCTGTCTTTACCCTCCTGTTTCATACATTCTAAGTAATGAACAATATTTACCTGAGCTGTCACTATCGTCATCCTCGTCCCCACTGAACCTGTCTTTACCCTCCTGTTTCATACGTTCTAAGTAATGATCTGTGTTTGTTTCTTCTTCATCAGAGGCCAAAATATCCTCATCATATTTCTGTTTCTGTAACATAGAAATAAATTTTCGTTTAACGGAAATATACAACTTTGGAATATTACAGAATATTTCATCAGATTTTTACTTACTGTAAATTCAGAAATTATTGCGAGGTTTTTATTAATACGAATAATGCGACTGGGTGAGTATCGCAATAATAAGAACTCGCATTTTGATACCTGATGTGGTTTACATTAAATGGAAGTGATATTATATGTAGGTTAAATTTTCGTGGGGGTTTTAATTTCGTGGATATATTCTTTCCATGAAATAAACGAAATTAAATCCTCCACGAAAATTTCTGCTTTTACAGTATGTGTATGCAGATTTTTCTGAAATCGCAATAATTAATCTCGCATTAGTGTCCACTCTTCAAAAATCGCAATAATAAATGCACGCAATAATTTCTGAATATACAGTATAATGATTTCCACTAGGGAAGCAGAAACCTTTACCCTTCAAACATGCACAACCTAAAATTCCTCAAACATAAAGTAAGGCTAAATAAAATAAAATATGTGTGTTTCCTAATACATCTTTGAAAAAAATAGGGTAGGTAGGTAGGGATTTTTTTTTATTTTACATTGAGTCTATGGGAGAGAATTTCTGACTTTAACAGTGCTTATTGAAAAATGACCAAAAAAACTTTAAGGTACATGTAGGCTATTTCTAAGCTTAAAATATAGGGTAGGTAGCAAAATAGGAAACACATGTATTATTTTTTTTGGCCTAAGGACTGTTTCGAATTTACATTTAGATCATTTTGTACACAAATATAGCAATTGAAAAATTTTGCCTGGCTTCTATATACCTATGAATTGTTAAATACATTCATTTAAGCCAGTATAGTGACCTCAGAAGTATAAAATTTTAAATCATTTATTTTCGCACACGATTTCCAGTGTTAAAATAATATGTTCACATATATTTAAATAGATAAATTCAAGTAAAATTAATTATGGTGTATTGTTGAAGTCCTTTTTTTTTTTTTTTTTTTTTTTTACAGTTGTTGATTTGGTCCAAAACATGACATTTTCACTCCCTACAAGACTTCCAATTTAAATTTCGTGATTTCTACATTTTTTGAACTTTTTCCTTTGATCTATTCTATAGAAAATGTCAAATATTCCCAACTATGATGTATTTATAATAATGACATTGTATATAGCTTACATGTATTATATTGTATGTATGTCATGTATATGTTTTAATTACTGGAAATAAAAAAATCAAAATTAAAAAAAAAATTCGTGATTTCTTACACCAAACATATTTGAATTTCATTTTTCCAAGGCCTGAATCTGATCTGCCTTTAAAGTCAATATACTTGAAGAGATATTTGTATGATATTTTTCTCTTCATCACAAAATTATTGTGGAAATAAATTCCTGTAGAAAATTTCCCCAATTACAGTATACATGTATTGGATGTATCTTACCGATTTGCCTCCAATGTTTTTAACAGACAGTTTCTTCTGTGAAACAAAATCATACAGTTTGCCATATTCATCTCTTCAAAATAAAAATATAACACTTATTAAACTTTAAACTCAAAAAAGAAATTACAAATCATATTACCAGTATGTGCAAATAAACTCATCATAAATACCAGGATAGAAATTTTGTATTTGGCTAGACACGCGTTTCGTCTACAAAAGACTCATCAGTGACGCTCGAATAAAAAAAAAATTAAAAAGGCCAAATGAAGTACAAAGTTGAAAAGCATTGAGGACCAAAATTTCCTAAAAGTTTTGCCAAATACAGCTAAGGTAATCTATTCCTGCTGTAGAAAAGCCTTAGTATTTCAAAATTTCAAAGTTTTGTAAACAGTTAATTTATAATTATGACCATATCAATGATAATTCATGTCAACACAGAAATCAACAGTTCTTACAAGAAAACACTGTACCAGTATAAAGTCAACAATTCTGCCAACAACTACTGACATATTTGCTATTAAAAGATTAATTCCATAGTCAATTTCTGGATAGCCAAACACCACTGCACGTAGTAGTAGTTGCAAGAAATGAAATCAAGCAAGCACTGAGTCAAAGTCATAAACCATTTTTTTGCTAGTGATTCCTTTTTTAAGTTCACAATGTAGGCAGCCAGGGTTCAATCCCACAACTTCCAACACTCTAGGTGAACAAATTTCCAAGAGACCACCAAGACAGTTTCATAATTTCAAGATTAAAACCTACTTTTCTATACCAACAAAGTTGTAAGTTGTCCCAGATTTAGTCTCCACATCAAAGTCAAAAGATCTGGTATTCCCAGCACTTCTGGCAAAGTTAACATTACCGATTTCATCAAATCTGATATGCATTGGCGGTTTATGTACGAAGATAAAACCTCTTTCTAAGGGATACAGGAAACCAGTCGCAGCCTTGTATGAACAGCCTATGGCCTGGGCACCAGAATTCCTACAAAATATCAAGTATACAACTTTGAAGATACTATTTTATATCCCAATCATAAGTAACTGTGAATATCTGTTTTAATCATGTACAAAATTTACAATTCAGAACATCTTTACTGTTAAATGAAGATGACTTTCAAGACTATAATTGAGTGGTTGTCATTGGTTCATGTCCGTCATATTTATTTTTCTTAATAGTATTGTTTATAAATTAGACTGTTAAGTTTCTTGTTTGAATTGTTTCCCATTTTTAATATTTAAGCATTTTATAGATGACTATATGGTCTCTTTGTTGTAGGCTGTACAATTGCGTATATCCACATCATTTTAACTCTGGTGGATAGTTGTCTCATTGAAAATCATAGCACATCAAATTACCTTTATTCTAAAAATGCTTTTTTGTATGTAATTTTTTTTTCTATTAAAGCAAATATACAATTGAATAGAAAGAATTATTTAACAAGAACATTTTTAAATCATCTTTAACCACAGTTCAGTTTACTAATTATAAACATACGATTTAAATGTCCCTGGTACAGTTATTTTTCTCGTCGTGACAGACTTGAATATTCTGCTGACCAATTCAAACTCTGGTCCGGACATTTCTTTCTGTAACTTTCCGTCAAATTTACTGTCCAATTCTTCTCTAAAATTCAATAACATTATTCTCACATTTGATAGGAAAAGTAATATCTAATTGGAAGTTTTTGCTATTTGGGGAATTTTTTAAATTGTATTTCCGTGGAATAAACTGTTTGTTATTGAAGGAATGAACTCTTTTATTTGGAATTATTTGATTGTTTGCAATCGTAAATTGATTGTGAGATATGATAAAAATTGAATTTGCACAAAATAATACCAGTTACTAGTATATGAAATAGCAATTTCTTCATAAAGAATTTGTCACCTTTGGCTTTGAGTTTTTAACCAAATACATATTTGCAACTTTTCTTTCAGATAATTCTTGCTGTTGTTTTTACTCTTTTTTAACTAAAGTATACTGGTCCTTTGGGCATAGTTTGCCTCTCTGAACATTTGGTTGCTTTTTTTTATGCCTACTGCACATTTAATTGCTTACTGTTGAAATAAACATTGCTAAAGTTTTTTTTCAGAATTTGAAAATGTTTGAATGTTTCTATTGTATTTTATAAAGACAAAATCTTACCAAAAGTTGTTTGCCATCCTATCTGCCCAAACTAGACTGCAGCCTTCCCTTTACCCCCCACCCTTTTGCCTTTGAAAGCCAAATAATGCATCCATCTGCCTCTTCCAATTGCATACAAACTTGACATACTTACTCAGTTAAACTTAAATCTATGGTCATTTCATCTTCCTGGTTAAACAACAGGATCAAGAAATGGTACCTGGTCTGTCCTTGTTTGATTGGTGGATCTAAACTCACCTGAAATAGTCATTGGAAATTATAAAGAACCAGAGAAGATATTTAATATCAAAAAATTTTCAGAGAAACAACTTGAGATTGGTTTATATTCAGCAATATCTTCTTCAAATATAATAATAATAATACATTTTTTTTTATTAAGGAGGATAAACATACTGTGGATTCATTTATTTTCGTGGGTACCAATTTTCGTGGATTGAGGAAAACTTGCATTTTCGTGGATATTTGATTTCGTGGTTTTCCAAAATTCTCCATTTAATCATACAGCAAATTTGCAATTCGATGAACATTTAAATTCGTGGTTTCCATGTACCCACGAATTCCACGAAAATTGGTATCCAACGAAAAATAATGAATCCACAGTAGTTAGTTGCAACAAACTGATCTTTATTGAGCCCACCAGAATAAATCAATTCAGCAGAATTGAAGGAGAGGCTTAAATGTATGTTAGCAAAGTCCACACTTTTGTATGAACTACTTCATGAAAATATGTAGACTATAACGAAAACAAAAGGGGCAAGTGAGAAAAGATATTCAAATAAAAAGAATCCAGTTGTTTCAGTGTTATCATTTCTTTCACAAAATCAAGTTTCCATTTTTAAGTAAAATATACATAAGTGCTTACATTTGACTACATAATAATACTTACTACAAAGAAAACCTGTCTTCCATCTTTGTGTGGGAGTAAGAACAATCGTAATACAGTGGTGTATGGTATCTTATAATCAAATGTTTTACCATGGAGCTGAAGGAAAGTCCCATATATCTTAATATCATAACGACCTCTGAAAATACAATAAGGCAGTTTTAGACCATAGAAATTACCCTTTTTTTTTTAACTTTTGAATGAAAACAATGAAAATGTGATAAAGGATACAATAAATAAACAGCTGTGCATGATACGCCCGTGGCTTTTTCAATAAAGTTCAATAACTTTTCAATGTTATTTATATCAGAAATTTTAAAAAAAAACTAAAGGGAGGTTATCTTAATAGATATAAATCAGTCATCAAAGTTTAATGAAAACTGCTCTAAGCACTTTAAGGTTATTGTCCAAAAACTTGAAAATCACCCCTTTTTTTATGAATAAAATCTTATATAACTCGGAAACGTTAAATCTTAAATTTATAAAAATCAAAAGGGAGCTTACAACAATAGATATAAACAATTTACCAAAGTTTCATAAAAAATTCAGCATTTTTGAGTTATTGTCCGAAAACTGGAAAATCCCCCTTTTTGTAATGAATAAAACCCCATAAATCGGAAACGTATAGTCTAAAATTTATAAAAATCAAAAAAAAGCTCATGTCGATAGAAATAAACAATTCACCAAAGTTTCTTGCAAATTGGTGAAATTGTTTTTGAGTTATTGTCCGAAAACTGGAAAATCCCCCCTTTTTTAATGAATAAAACCCCAAAACTCAAAAACGGTAAATCCGAATTTTATAAAAAACGAGAGAGAGCTCACGTCAATAAATGTAAACAATTCACAAAAGTTTCATGCATATTGGTTAAAGTGTTTTTGAGTTAATGTCCGACATGCTGACGACGGACGGACGGACAGTCGGTCAACTGTATACCATATTACGTCCCGTAAACGGGCGTATAAAAATTTTAAAGGTTTTTCACATTTAAGAAATTTTAAACAAATTTTAACAGCAAAAGACAAGTTTTAAGTCATCACTCCAAACAAGCAAGATTGATGCTTCACATTAATAAATATCTTCTTCTACTTCATTCAAAATCGAAAAAAAATTATTGTGGGGTATTCAGCTGAATTTGCTCTGAATCATCCTAGATCTGACTTGGGATAACCTTAGGAATTCAAGAAACAATTACTTTTTAACTATGACATGAAATGTTTTAAATTGTGATGCAATATTTTGTTTGAAAGTGTAAATAGTCCATATTTCAGCTGTAATATTACCTTGGTGTTAAGCACTGTACTTCACTGAGATTACAGATAGCATCACCTGTAGCCTGTATAATGTCTGCTTTGTCTACAACTTGGTTGTAAAATTCCTGCAAGAATAATAATTGAAATTCTAATTTGACGTCCTTCTTTCACTTCGGAAACAAAGCCATGTTCCAATTACAACAAGAAATGATTGTAACAGGATGCTGTTACGAAGTCTCCCAAACGAAGCTCCCATAATTCGTAATTACCAGGGTCGCCTGACATTGGGCAAAGTCCAGTGAAAATTGGTTGGTCCAGTAAAGTTATATGCATTAGTGATGCCTGGGGACTAACCCTGTATATCATTCAAATCATCTTGGCATGACAAACCAGAATATATATGGTTTAGGGGTGGGGATCTCGACCATTTACAAGATATTAGAACTTTCTCAAATGGCAGAGGGTCAGGATGACCCCTGGGGACTAACCCTGTATATCATTCAAACCATCTTAGCATGACAAACCAGAATATATATGGTTTAGGGGTGGGGATCTTGACCACTTACAAGATATTAGAACTTTCTTAAATGGCATGGGGTGGGGGTGACCCCTGGGGACTAACCCTGTATTTCATTTCATGTGTTTTATCATGACAAACCAGAATATATATGGTTTAGGGGTGGGGATCTCGACCATTTACAAGATATTAGAACTTTCTCAAACGGCAGGGGTTTGGGATGACCCCTGGGGACTAACCCTGTATATCATTCAAACCATCTTAGCATGACGAACCAGAATATATATGGTTTAGGGGTGGGGATCTTGACCACTTACAAGATATTAGAACTTTCTTAAATGGCATGGGGTGGGGGTGACCCCTGGGGACTAACCCTGTATTTCATTTCATGTGCTTTATCATGACAAACCAGAATATGTATGGTTTAGGGGTGGGGATCTCGACCATTTACAAGATATTAGAACTTTCTCAAATGGCAGGGGGTCGGGATGACCCCTGGGGACTAACCCTGTATATCATTCAAACCATCTTAGCATGACAAACCAGAATATATATGGTTTAGGGGTGGGGATCTCGACCATTTACAAGATATTAGAACTTTCTCAAATGGCAGGGGGTCGGGATGACCCCTGGGGACTAACCCTGTATATCATTCAAACCATCTTAGCATGACAAACCAGAATATATATGGTTTAGGGGTGGGGATCTTGACCACTTACAAGATATTAGAACTTTCTTAAATGGCAGGGGGTGGGGATGACCCCTGGGGACTAACCCTGTATTTCATTTAATGGGTTTTATCATTTAGAACATTTTCAATTAAAAAGATTGTGTCTATCACAAACGGTTTTCAATTTATAATCATTTGAAAATTTAAAAAAATAAAATCCCATAGGGTTCTATAGTAAAACCCTCTTTTCTTTTTGCCCCTCAAAGTATCCCTTTATAAACCCCATTGCACAAACAAAACCCTGATTGCACCACTAGACATGTTAGTCTAACATATTGTGAAACCCTAAGTTAATCTGACAAGTGGTTTTGGAGAACGGGTGCGGACAAGTTCAAATTTAAAAGCGGCGGAAGAGGAAGAGGAAGAGGAAGAAGAATAATAATAATAATAAGAACTGAGCAAAAACAATAAGTCTTCCCAAACTTCGTTTGGGAGACTTAATAAAACATGGGCTGCACATGATTGACGTCACAATTGAATTGCAACTTCAGTTGTATTTTGAACAACGCTGGAGATCGAAATGGACATTTTTGTTGTTGTTGGTCGCTAGGAAATTAAATAAAATTCGTAAGGGTTCCGTGGAACCCAGTGTCTCGCCTACTTTTGCTGTTAATCGCAGGCTCAACAAAAATGAGAAAAAAAATAAATAAAAATATTCCTCTCTATACTATCATTTGAATGTAAGTAGCTTCTGTCCAAGTTTGGTAAAAATCCAAGATAATTTATGAATCTAATAAATGTTTTAAAAACTTAAATTGCAGACTGTATGTAATGTTGACTGAAAGAAAAACTAAGTCCATTTATAAGTAAAATACGGAAAAAATGGAACAAAATTTTATCAAAATTTCCTTCTAGATACTAGCTTTTGATCATAAACAAGCTTCTGTCCAAGTGTGGTACAAATCCAGGATAGTTTAAGAAAGTTGTTAAAGTTTTAAAAACTTTAACCACAGAGTGAATGTAATGTTAACTGGCAGAAAAACTAAGTCCATTTATCAGTCAGGGGCGTTACTTAAACAAGTTATTTTTTTAAGTTACTTATATAAGTAATTTTTGTTTTTAAAAATAAAAAAATTACTTAATAGAGTTATTTTAATTTTCAATAGAAGCATAGACTAAATGTAGTTTTCATGAATTTTTACATCATTTTATATCATAAAATAAAGAATTTATTAGATTTGAGAGGAGTATAGACTTTAAAAATAATGACAAAAATATTACTTGAATAAGTTATTTTATACATTTTTGAAAAAAATAGTAATAACACTTATTGAAGGAACATATGTAATTGATTTTGGTTACAAGTTATAAATAACTTCAAGTCTTAATTAATTCACAAGTACCTATCTATTTATATCAGTCTACCTTCAAGATTTTGGAGGAAAATGATAATTTAATCATTGTTAATAGTCCCATGAGACCAATCTTTGACCCAGAAGCATCAGTATGAAAGATAAGTGCGTCAGAAAGTTAATTAGTGTTTCAGAAGGATTAGATTTTATATTTCATGGGAAAAATAACCAGATGACTGTGAAAAATTGTTAAAGCTACTAAAATCTGTATAATTGGACACCTATAAAAAAAATATTCAGAAAAGTTACTTATATAAGTAATATTTAAAATAGCCTTGTTTTCAACATTACTTGTATAGGTAATTTTAATTGTTACTTATTCAAGTAATGCCCCTGACTGTCAATTTAGTTGTTATATTTTTTTTAAGTGGGTTCATCTAAATCATGTAAACTAGGCAAACGTTTGAAGTTGCATGTCATCTAACATAGGAGTATCTTTGAAGACCGCTTACCAATGCTATGCCAAAATAATATTATAAAATTGCAATTTGTTTATAAGTAAAATACGGAAAAAATGGAATTTTTTTTTTACAAAATTTACTTGTGGATACTATCTTATGATCATAAACAAGCTTCTTTCCAAGTTTGGTAGAAATCCAGGATAGTTTAAGAAAGTTATTAAAATTTGAAAAACTTTAACCACAGAGTGAATGTAATGTTTCCTGGCAGAAAAACTAAGTCCATTTATAAGTAAAATACGGAAAAAATGGAATTTTTTTTACAAAATTTACTTTTGAATATAATCTTATGACCATAAACAAGCTTCTGTCCAAGTTTGGTAGAAATCCAGGATAGTTTAAGAAAGTTATTAAAATTTCAAAAACTTTAACCACAGAGTGAATATTTGTGGATGCCGCCGACGGAATGTAGGATCGCTATGTCTCGCTTTTTCGACAAAAGTCGAAGGCTCGACAAAAATTATTCTAAAAGTAAGTTTACGTATATATGTTAATTTTTTTATCGTTCAACTGTTGATTTTCTTTAAAGTTTTTGGTTCATCAAATCAAAATGGCTGCCTTTTGGATGTTTACTATAGGTCCGCTTCAAAGTACAAAAGCTCTAAATATTCCTATCAGAATCGAAATAATTATATCATGCCATGCTTTATGCTAATTTTAACACGGGTAGGCATTATAATTGTCAATACTTTACACCTTGTGGATCCCATATAAATATATTCACAAATAATGCCTACCAATGTTAAAATGAGCATTAAGCATGGCAAGGAAGAATTATAAATTTCTTTATGAAATCACAAATAACACACTGACAGTATAGATAATCATCATAAAGAAATATTTTGGTTTTGTTGTTTATTAACAAAGTTATCTATATAATGCAAATTCACTGGTACATTTTACTGTAAATTCAGAAATTATTGCGTGCATTTATTATTGCGATTTATGAAGAATGGACAATAATGCGAGATTAATTATTGCGATTTCAGGAACTTCTGCATACAGATGCATATATCAGATATCAGAATGCGAGTTCTAATTATTGCGATACTAACCCAGTCGCACTATTCGCATTAATAAAAACCTCGCAATAATTTCTGAATTTACAGTAAATGCCTCAGTTTCCAAGAATGACCCCTCTGTCCAACCAAAACATATATGCTTTCATCCAATATTTGCCCTAAAGTTTGTCTAAGAAAAATAGGTTCCTTTTTTTACTTTTTCTTCTTTTCAGTAAAAGCTCCTCTTACAATTTCAGACTAACCCTTTGCATTAACAGGGTAGTAACAATTGCAAATTTTATGTGTAATCTGTTTCTCGATGGAGGCATTCAATCCCTCGCCCACCTCAACCCAACTAAATCACCTACTGTTAAGTATACAAAAATATTCCTTACCTGTACAGTATCTTTTTCTGAATCTTTTGGGTCATTAGGTATATGAAATCTGATTTCTGTTAATGAAACAGCTGCATCATCATTCATGTGAAATTCTAAAGTTACTTCGTTCTTTGCTGTTGTTGAATGAGATACATTATTTAATGGAATTTCAAACGCTAATTTGTTGTCGATATCAAATTCTAAAGAGTTCCCTGAGAAAAAAAAATCAACATAAATAGTTATTGGTTTTTATATTCAAACATCAATTGCAATATTTCTGCACGCCAAAAAAGTATATATAATTCTAAAACGAATAAAATAAAAATTGGACCAAAAAAAAAAATATACCATGATTTATCCTATAGTCAGTTTTAAGCTTGGTCTTCACAATGAACTTTTACAGCTACAGGGCCAATAAATTTTGGGAGGGATTTTGCAGATTTTTTTAAAGAAATTCTTACAAGACTTGTAATTTTTTCTAGCCTGGGCTTGTCCCAGGTTAGGGGAAGACATAGCACTCATAAAAAGGTTAAACACACCACATTCTGTATATGCCTGGCCTGTCCCAAGTCAGGAGTCTATAATTCAGTGGGTGTCTGTTTATCCTTTGTTTTGTCAAATAAAAGGCCTATAGTTTTTTTTGTTAGAATTGTTTTACATTTCGTCATGTCAGGGTTTTTCATAGTCGCCTCTATGGTGTGGGTTTGCTCATTGTTGAAGGCCCTATGGTGACCTATAATTATTTAAAATACACGTCATTTGGACAACATCTCATTATTCATATCATGCTCGAGCATGAAGCCTGTAATGTGTAAATAAATGGAAAAGTAAGTTTAACTGAACAATAATATATTAGAATACAGGTATTCAACAGGCACTTTGCACTATTCCTCTTATTATCAACAAAGTACATGTACAATGTATCTTTACCTTCAAATTTAGCAAGACCCCAATTCCATCCTTTGACAGAAACGTCTCTTTTTTCTAAACTCACACTGTAATACTTTGAAATGAAAGATGCAAGCTTCTCAAAGTCCTGAAAGAAAAAAATATTTCAACATACAAAAGCAGCTGGGCTTTCTATAAATCTAATACCATTGTACTGGGTGCAGTAATTAATGGTTTGGTTATTGCTTTTTCTACTTTTTCCTGATCTAAGATACACCAGGCAGGTTTGGATACACATTAAACAAAACAACTTATAAGTTCAGATAAAAAAATGGACTATCTATATCAAGAAAATATTCACCCAAGCGATTGAACATAAACATACAAACACACGTAAACCTTATATTACTTTGTTTAATGTGTAATGTGTTGTTTCTTACTCAATATTTTGTACCCTCCCTTTTTTTTGGTCAAATTTGTTTGCTTTCCATTTTAGTTAAACTGCATTAAAGTTTAAGAAGAACTGATCATGTTGATTTTCTTGGCAATGATGCACTGCAATAAGTGACTGTACATTTTCTAAAACTGATTAATTAAATTCTGATTTTAACATGGACCAGTGATTATTTATTCTTTTTATGGAATATTTCAAGCCCCTATTAGAAGACAAATTTATATTTTGCAAGAAATTTACAAATAAGTCTCTGAATGAATGAATGAGTCTTTGATTCATTATTGGAAATTGGTCTCTATAAATTTTGTGAAAAAAAAGTGACTTAACAATTTGACAAGGGTCAAGGTAATCACTTGATATCTTTCTTGACTTTTAAACCCAAAATATGCAGCCTACTTCATCATGTACATGTAGTCATCTAAGCAATATTATTATGATTATCAACAACCTGATAATATATTACAGAACTCTGCCAGTGCATGCTAAATATTACAATGATAGCTTCAATAATACATGAATACAAACTTTTATACCCATTGTACAAAAATGTTGCAGAGCTTCAGATAAGCTGCGTATTTACGTGATCACGCAATAAAAATAATTGAAAACCCAATGCAAGTGCCCATTGCAGAGTTCTAAAACCCAATTCATGCAAAGGAAAACCCAATAATTTGTCAAAACCATTAGTTCTTAACGCTTTTAGTCGCTATCGTGTGCGCTATTTACCCTTATCTATTACATAGTCGTCGCGTAAATCTATTTTTGTAATATTGAAAATCGAAAATGTCCTTTCATTCTAAAAATAGAGCGTTGAAAGGGTCCCTGTTGAAATTTTCCGTTGCTTTAAAGGTGCACGTGGTGATGAAAACATTTCGATCTTCTCTGTCTTTATCCAATTAGCGTTAGTCATGTCGTCATAATTCTTTTCGTTTTGCTCGGGATTTAACATTACACTTAGCAATGAAATAAAACGAAAGTAGATTTCAGGTAAAATATTGAATAGAAGCATGTTTTTAGCTTCTTTTTGAGAGCTGAGGAATTTTGATGAAAACAAGACCCAGCTAGTGTTATTACAATGGCGTGTTTGCGTGCCTTAACGAGAACAGGGTTAGAACTCGTCAGAACTAAATCAGTTGGAACATGAAAGGCCAAATCACTTATATGAAGTCAGCATCGGAAACCAAAAGTTCTAATAAGGGACAAGTAAACCCAGATTTATGCAAATAAAATTAAACGAAAAAATTGCTTATTTTTAGTTCAAGATCTAGAGTATATATATAATATATATTTCATTTTAGTTGATAAGTTTTAATAATGTAAATGTAGCTTGCCACTTTCTTTGTTTTTGGTCTATTGTTCTGTATGCCTAAGATACATGTAGTTGTCTTATTGGCAAGTGCAGTACACCATTGTTATTTATTTATTTGATGTTGCAGGATTATTTGTAAATTGAATGTGGTCTCAGTCATTAAACCACCCTTTAAACCTGGTCAAGGATCTTAAATCTGGGAGCTACTTATTTTTTTTTAAGTAGGTCTGGAAAACAGGTGATAGGGACTGGCAACACTATCTTACATCACTTAATGTTCACAAATATTACATAAGAATCTGAAAACTATTAGCCACACCTACCCCAAATAAACTGAATGGTGATCATATGTGCTCTAGAACGGTAATTAGGTACTGTCCTATTAGTGCCACCAGTAAATATAAGTTATGGAAAATACAAAACTCTGTGTTGAAACCGGACACAGATTAAACATACAATTGCTCGTCAGTGTATAAACCAAATAAAATAGCTATCACATTTAAAAGAAACATATTTTATTAACAGCCTTCACGCTTAATTTTTGAATCCACAAGCCAGAAGCTCAATTTTTTGAAAATTTTAGTTGGATTCTGTTGGCTTGTAGAGAAGAATTTTACAAGCCGAAAGCAATTTTACAAGCCAATGCCGTAGGACTTGTGGTTAAGCGTGAAGACTGTATTAATAAGATGGATGAACATCTCTGTTTGATAGAATGTGATTATAACATGCCTAAATTCAATATTGTGTTGATGAAAAAAACCCAATACCTTAAGGAGCTTGGTGGTGAAAAACCCAATTTGATATTTGCTTGAGGGGTGAATTGGAATTAATAATGCAATTGAAAAACTATTTCACTCAATTAAATAAAAAATGGTGGGTAAAAACCCCAATTTGTGAATTCTTATCTGGAGCTCTGATGTTGTACTTACATCATCTTTAAACCCATCAAATCTGTGAACATTTCCATTGTTAAGTCTAAACTTTAAACAGTGACCTCTTGCCCGTTTCAACCACTCTGATGTATTCACCTCCATTCCAGTGAACTGTTCAACTTTTCCTGTTTTATTGTTCTTAAAAATTACACTATTACTTTGAAGTTTTAATCTTCCTGGGTTCTAAAAAATAAACACAAAGCACATTTATTTGGAACAATTATATCAAAAAAGTTTCATGATTCTGTAAATTTTTGTATATAATATTGCAACATCTACAATGATCTATGACTTCTCATTCTCTCTGCGTCTACATTGAAACAATACAGAGATAGATCACATGACCGGACTTGTAATAATAATAATTGATAAATTCTAGAGATGTGCAAGAGCATTGAACTCCTATTCATATGAATAAGTAATAGACATAAAATTGAGAATGGAAATGGGGAATGTGTCAAAGAGACAACAACCCGACCACAGAACAGACAACAGCAGAAGGTCACCAATAGGTCTTCAATGCAGCGAGAAATTCCCGCACCCGGAGGCGTCCTTCAGCTGGCCCCTAAACAAAAATATATACTAGTTCAGTGATAATGAACGCCATACTAAACTCCAAATTTGTACACAAGAAACTAAAATTAAAAATAATACAAGACTAACAAAGGCTAGAGGCTCCTGACTTCGGACAGGCGCAAAAAATGCTGCGGGGTTAAACATGTTTATGAGATCTCAACCCTCCCCCTATACCTCTAGCCAATGTAGAAAAGTAAACGCATAACAATACACACATTAAAATTCAGTTCAAGAGAAGTCCGAGTCTGATGTCAGAAGATGTAACCAAAGAAAATAAACAAAATGACAATAATACATAAATAACAACAGACTACTAGCAGTTAACTGACATGCCAGCTCCAGACTTCAATTAAACTGATTGAAAGATTATGTCTTCATCATATGAATATCAGGCACAATCCTTCCTGTTAGGGGTTTAGTATCATACCATCATAACATATATGAGAAGAACATAATCCTTGTCATGCCAACAACTGGTTTTTAAATAAATGTGTTTAGTGCCGATGCAAAGACCCTAGAAGTGAATCAATATTAATGCCAAAATATGCAATCTTTAATGACCTGACAACAGTATCGTAACTATATCCCTTCTTAATAAGTCTATTTAAAGGTTTTGTTAGCTTCAGAGGTGAATACTGACATTTTTGTGCTTTATAAAGAATATTTCCATAAAAAATTGGATGTGAAATACCTGAACGTATAAGAAGTCTGCATGTTGAGCTATATTTACGAATGATGTCCTTATACCGATGATAAAATTTAGTAAATGTTTTGACTAGTTTGTGATATCGAAAACCCTGGTGTAATAATTTTTCAGTAATACATAAATTTCTCTCGTTAAAATCTAAAACATTGTTACATACACGAGCGAATCGTACAAGTTGAGATATATAAACACCGTAAGATGGTGACAAGGGAATGTCACCATCTAAAAATGGATAATTAACGATAGGAAATGAAAAATCATCTCTTTTATCATATATTTTAGTATTAAGCTTTCCATTAATGATATAGATATCAAGATCGAGGAAAGGGCAGTGGTCATTGTTAGTATTAGCTTTATTTAAAGTAAGTTCAACAGGATAAATTTCTTTAGTATACATACTGAAGTCGTCATTATTGAGAGCCAAAATATCATCCAAATATCTAAATGTCTTTTACATTAGACTCATAAGTGGCACACTTTTATTCATCAGGATTTAACTCTTGTTTCATTAGTGTTGAACAGTTGAGATTTGACAGGCATGTATTCAGCTGGTTTCAGATGTTTTCAATCAAATTTTCAGATGTTTTCAATCAAATTTGATTAGGCCAATTAAAATTAATTGATAGATTTTCATCCCCACCTGCCCCTCTGAACTCGTCCCGCCCCGAATTTTGTTATTTTATAAAAATTTACCATTTCCGGATTTTGTTCATTTCCGTTACCAATAAATAACCGTCGATAATTTCCTTTCATTCAAAACTTCCTGTTTCAAATTTTGGTTTTCATATTTCTTCGAGTAATTTAACCGAAATATTTAGAGTCGACACATTCTGCTGCTCTCTGATGACAACATCACCTACTGAGAATAGAGATTGATTATGAGAAGGGCATGAAATAGCCGTGAATTTTTATCTATTTATATTTTATACAATGACTTTGTGTCAGGAAATTTGGTCTGTGAATGATGTCCAAAGCGCAAGAATCATGGAACACATTGGTACAAAAACATGACTGTATTAAAGAATTTGACACAAGTGAAGGACGAACTTGCAAGATTAATGACCGTATATTGAAATCAAAAAGTCGGGAAACATACACACTGTGTTATAACCATGATAACTTATACTTTATAGCAAGCCCTTAGATTTAGCCATGGCTGTTGTTTTTGTTGAAAAACAGCACTGAATTAACCTCTGTCCCAATACCCTCAATGATTTCCTCAATAGAGTCATTAAACAACTTCTTTTTGGTTAAGTTCTTGTTTAACATTGTATTTATATAAATTTGCATCTTGTATAAGAATCTTAAATGCATCAATCCTGTTCATTACTGTTTGAGTTCAAGTTTTACTCTGTACTCACAATAGTATACTTGTGTCGCATACCAATGAATTTCTTCATTTTATGGGCATCACAAACCATCGCTTAGAAAGCAAAAAAATATGTGTATGTTCATGATGTTGTCAAACTGAAGAGAACATTTCACCATATTTTTGCTATTTACTAAAAAAAAGGTTTATAAAGTGGCAATTACATGTAGAACAGTGGTTCAATGGCAGTGTTCTCCCCAGATATTTCATTTAGCATCCTGGTAAAAATTGAAAATTAAAATACCATCTTGTTTCTAAAAATTATAGCATCACATCCATAACATAATCTAGAAGAAAACCAATACAGATAGCATCATATTACCATGATGCTAAAAGGCCCTGGGGAGAACACTGAATGCCAATCAGAGACATTTATCTAACATTCGAAAAATTATGTAGGATTCCTCATAAATGTGTAAACCTGATCTAAGCTTTATTATTATTACACTTGCATGTATGAAGAACACGTCACAAACAAGGTTTAGTATGAAATAAAAATAAAATAAATGTGGATAGTGTCCACATGTGGACACAGATGATGCCCCCGCTTGCATAGCATATAGTTATAAAGGGACATAACTGAAGACCGGTAAAAGTGACAAAATTTGAACTTGATCTGAGTTTTGTGGTAATAAGTATTGTGTGTAAGTCTCATAACATTTGGTTGAGGCTAACTTAAGTAGAGAACAGAAACTGAAAATTCAGCAATTTTTCTATTTGTAAACACGCATAACTCTAGAACGGTTGTGTATAAGTTTTATTACATTTGGTTGAGACAAACTAAAGTTAGAGATCGGAAATTAAAAATTCAGCAATTTTTATGTTTATAAATTAAAGATACATAACTCAATAATGGTAAAAGTGTTCTCACCAAATTTCGTACTTAATCTGTATTATGTAGTAATAAGCATTGTGTATAAGTTTCTTAACATTTGGCAAACTAAAGTAAGAAAAGGGAAACAAAAAATTTGTACTTGATCTTAGTTTTATGGTAATGAATATTGTGTATAGGTTTCATAATGTTTGGTTGGGGCAAACTTAAGTTACAGAATTGAAACTAAAAATTTTGCAATCTTTCGATTTATAAAGGGGCATAACTCAATAATGGTTAAAGTGACACTACCCAAATTCAACTTGATCTGTGTTTTATCAGTGGAAGTCAAAATTAACATTGCATTGTATAAAGCATTGATTGTAGTTGATTCAACTATAATCATGAACAAAGGAAGATAACTCCAATTTTAAAATAACTTGATATTTAGAAGAAAATAAAAATTTTGCAATTTTTTCATTTATAAAAGGGCAATACTCTAGAACAGTAAAAGTGACGCCACCAAAATTCAAACTTGATCTGTGTTTTGTGGTAATAAGCATTGTGTATAAGTTTCATAACATTTGGTTGAGGCAAACTTAAGTTAGAGAACGGAAACTAAAAATTTTGCAATTTTTCCATTTATAAAGGGGCATAACTCTAGAACGGTTACAGTGACGCCACCAAAATTCAAATTTGATCTGTGTTTTGTGGTAATAAGCATAGTGTATAAGTTTCATAACATTTGGTTGAGGCAAACTCAAGTTAGAGAACAGAAACCAACTTTGGGACGTAAGTAAAAACACATTTTTGTGCCCCCGCCGTAGCGGTGGGGGCATTAAGTTTTACCCTTGTCCGTTTGTACGTACGTAAAACTTAATGCCCCCACCGCTACGGCGGGGGCATAAAAATAAAATCCTCCCACCCACCCCATTTTTTCAAAAATCTGGATGAAAATCTACTTATTAAATTTAGTTGGCCTAATTAGTCGGTAGAAAGCCAGGGGTTCAAATTAACATTTGGTACTGGAATGTCCAGGGCCTTGGACACTCCAAACTGAAAGGTCCACAAACCTAAATTCCAGGTCCTACTTTTACTTGAAATATTTCATAAATCAGTAAGATACAAAATTATGGTGCTTTTGGTATTAAGGAGGGTGTCACTATGGGTGGGTGTTGTCTCAATGATTGGTAATATATCATTAATTATACCATTATCTCAGGGCTCTTCAGAATCATAGGGAGAAGCAACTTCTCTTTTTGAAACTGATAGGGAAAAGTGGTGAGATTTGGAAGAGAAGTGCTCACTCAAAGCGCTACAATGTTTGGTTTTTACTATAATATAAAGGGCTATATGTATCTCTTTTATCATATTGTTCAATTCATACCCAAGTATACAATTAAAGTAACAGTTCAAATTCAAATTTATCTAATCATATTATCTAGTTGCACTATTATATTAGTTCCTCTGTGAAAATAAAGTAAGAAACTTCCATTTTTACTGGCCCTTTAAAATTGAGATGAAATTACATCTTGGAATTATAGTATTATGTGTACACTATAAAAACATCTACATGTAATATCATCATTTATTAATGATAAAGAAAATTGCTGTCACATTTTATTGGATCTTGACATCAAAATTTGTGAACTAATAGTAATTTTTAGTTTCTGTATAAAATATTTCCTGGTTTTTCTTTCTTTTCCATATATCTTTTGGTT